TTTGTTGGTGAAATATTAAAAAAAATACTTTTTTCGAAGCATTGCCTGCCTATCGCTAGCATCGCACTTCTCTCACATGTCCGGCCATTTTAAATTGCCGCGCCAAAAAAAGCTACTACAACTATGAAAGGCACTTAATTTCTTCTTAATAACGCCAGCGATATATGGGTAGCACATAAAAGGACTTGGACAGTGGAAGGCCGCAAGGTAAGTATGTTAAGATTAGTGGTAGATTAATGTTTCTTAACAATACCTTTTAGTCAAATGAATAAAGGTACGAAATGAAGGCATCAACGATTTGAATGGTGATGGGCATGGAAAGTTTCGCCCCCAGCCGAAGATTACTTTCTTACTTTTTTATATATATCGGTTGAGATTTTAAAAGGTAGAGTTTCTAATCATAACCTTTAAGGCCTTTAGATGCTAGACAACTAACATTTCCGTTAACATAGCTCTGTAAATACCCTGAAAGGGATCTGTTTAGCATTTAGAAAAAATATTTTTTTGGATTTGGAAGCGTATCCCGTTCATATAAAAATGTCAAATATTTTTGTGGACATCGCGTAAATCTATATGAAAATACCTTTGAATACAAAATGCTTATCGGAAGTACTTTTAACAATTTTTTGGAATTCGGTTTCGGTGTTCCTTCCAAGCTAGAAAATGTCATCTATATTTATCTATATATTTATGCGTAAGTAGGCGTAAATATATTAATCCGTACATTTTAGTGCCTTTTTTTTATATTCGCTCTCGATTTTGTAATAAAACTTTTGAGTTTTCTTATTTCCGAACTAACATTTTTAGGTACACTTTGCATATTGCTTACGCAATTAGTATAAATTAAACTTAGACCTAAAATCAAAATATTTATGTAGTAATAAAAGCGAAACAAAGAAAAAAACAAGTAAGAAAATTATATTCAATTATGACCGAATCGTTTTTACCCAAACATAACAAAAAAAAAAATATATATATATATACATATATATATATATATAAGAATATAAAAATAAAGTGGAAAAATATTTAATTTCGATACACTATAATATTGAGTGGGTGTGGCTCATCTTGTCATATTTGTAGAAAACACATTGAAATTTTCATATTCTATCGGTTATAATCGATGAGTAATGAGAGAAAGGAATTGCTCTCCGTTCATGTCGAACGTGTCCTTGAGCCAATTCAAGCCATTTCCATTACTAACCTATATAAAAGAATATCAAGTTCTTCCGAGTTTGATGTCGATGTTTTTATCCTTAAGACGATGAGAAAATTTACTATAGACATTTATACAAACGGATACACAGATTATAGCGATCGAGAATTTGATGCTAACAACTAAGGAATGCATATGCATGCAGCTTTATAGAATCTGTGAAGTCTTCTTGCAATTAGTGTTACAAATAGATGGCAAAATGAATGTAGCCGCTTTCTTCGGTGATGGGTATAAAAAAAGGAACCACTAAGATATCGAGTAACGACATAACAATGGTGAATCAGTCAAATGTGCAAAACGATTAGTATGTGTTTCTGCTCGCAAAATTCACTTTCACTTAAAGGTGATTCAACTCAATTTAGTGGTTAAAAACATATGTACGTAGCGTATCGTATGCGGCGCACACACACATCTACATATATATGCATAGATAGATGTCGTTTTAACTGAAGCATACTAAAGCACATTGTACCCTTTAAATAAGTTTTTATGCTTTGCAAGTTTCTGGTTGCAATACGTTCACGTTGTCAAAAAGGTATGCGTGCATGTATATATGTATATATTAAAATAAACCAACATATGATAACTTCCTGCTGAATATTCAGGTAGAAATTGTGTAATCTTGGCTACTTAAGCAACACCTTAGTTGACTACTCTCCGCATATGCGTATGCACGCGCATATATACTCTGATATCTATAAACGTATATGCAACTATACGTTTATTTTATATAGTCCTATTAAGGGCTCTCGTTTTTAATTTTTTTTGTTTTTTTTTTTTTTCTTTCGTCTTTAACGACACAGAAAAGCTATTTTTATTTTTTTAATTTATTATAATATGTTTTCTGTTTTTTTTTTGTCATTTATTTTTATTTATTTTATTTTTCCAATTTCTTTAAATAAAGGAATTTTAATTGCTTAACGCATTATCTTAAAGAGTATTTGCATTGCATTGTGCATTTTTATTATATACGTATATACATATATATATATATATATATATATATACATACATATATACTCTAATTGTATACTTGTAGCGAAAGTTGTCTCTAAAGTATTTCATTCTTTTTTTGTTTTTAAAACATATATATAAAAAAAAGTTTTTTGAAATAATTTCGATACTATTAAACTTAATAAGAAAAAAAAAAATAAATAAATAATAAAAAAAAATTTGGAAATAACTTTTAAATTTTTATTTTTATATATTGTTAAGGTATTTTTATATATCTTTTATTGAATTTTGGTCAAAAATCTTTCGTGCATTTTTTTTTTTCAATTATTTATTTTTATTAACAATTTGAGACTTATACTCGATTTAAAGTCAATCATGAATATCTTGCGTTTCATGGAAACATTATTAAAATCATAACTATTTTTATTGATTGCGACATTATCACTGGACCATTCGACATCGTGTTTCCAAAGTGTAAATTTCCAATCAAAATCTTTTCCTATAAGTTGTTAAGAAAATATTTGAAAAAGCCTTTGCTATTGTGTACATATTTATAGGTGGATTATGTCGAATAACTAAACAAGCAAACAAGGTCTTTTAAAGCATATTAAAGCTTACCGTCTGGTGTTCCTGATACCGTCTAAAGTCAACAATAAATAGACAGACGGACTACAAATCAATGTTAACAGTAAATGCTTCTAACACTTAGCATTAAATTTATAAATAAATACATTGCTTTTTTTTTGCGCCTAATTATATAAATAATTTAATGACTATTTCAGAAATGCCGGACAGTCCAAACTATTTTAATTTTTCCTTTTTTTTTCAAAAATCTTTCTTTAGCTTGCAAGCTGAACTAAAAATACTATTCTTATACGTAATGATAAATCATTAAGATATAATTGTGATTTTCTTGCATTTATAAACATCTACTTACATATAAAGTCATTTAAGTATATTTACTGATATTACGATAGAAACGGGAGAAAAATGCACTATACCTTATGGGTCAACGTAAGAATCATTTTCCCCAATTTAAATGGCTCTGCGGCTTTAAATCTGAAAAAAGAAAAAAACGCATAATCTAAATGTCTGTAATCAGATAATTGAAGAAGTACGTATGCAGTTCCAAGAATAACGAGTTTTGTGCAAAATCCCTGGCGTACTCATTTTAAGAATGTTATTGTAATAATAATTATTATTAATAATAATAATGATAATAATAAGAATGTTATTTTAAATATATTATTAAAAATTCAAAAATTCAAGTAGTTGTTGAAGTGATTCTGCTCGCCGTTTCAAAAATCGTGTTTGATATATATTATAGGCGTGCTTTTTTTTTTTATTATAGTATATTGTTAATTATTTTTTTCGAATATTATGCTATCCCAGGATTATACTTTCTTCCAAGTTCAAATATTAATCCTCGGGCTCTTTCCGCGAAAACACTTTACCTGTAGCAAAATGACGAACAAAATGTCGGAAATGTCGTCAAAAATTTTTACGCAAATTTTTCATTTCCAAACAAAGGCAGTGACACGGTTTGAGTCACTCTCAGCCTCCTGTGGCGTCATCGTTAGTCTCGATGTGAAACTTTTCTAAGGTAATTTTTCGTTTGGATAACCTTTTAAATGAATATCTTGCAGCTGTTAGTATATTAAAGAAGTTAGATTATAAAATAAAAGGTATTGGCCTATAACTTCCCAACAGGTATTTTTTTACACGTGAGGAATCTTTAAAGCGCTTCGAACAAAATCCCGAAATTTTTCTTCCGCATATTCTAGAATGTTCAGAGCATCTGTTTTTCTAAAGTAAAGAGTAAAATAACAAAACTGAATTTTTCTTCATTCTCTTTGTATTGTGATTTTGAAAGTATTATGCGCAATTATTTCTCCATTGTTAATAGTTTAGGTATGCTGGTGTTCGCATATTGTAAATATGTAGACTCGAAAAGTTGATTGCTGTTGATAGTGTGGATTGTGAGGGATGAGGCTTACGATTGACAGGTTCCCGATTTAAGCTGTGACTACAGAAGGAGTTACAGTACTAATGACGATAAGGCAAAGTCTTAGAATTTAGTTAATTATGCTAATAGATGTACTATAAAATCAGTTGTGCTGTTCCCTTTTGAGGAGATTAACTCTAGCTCGAAGTTTAAAGAAAACAATTTCTTTTAGGTAATGAACTCTTTCCTCTGTATTTTAGAATCTAGAAGACATCTATAAGGCCAATAAAAAAAAATTGATTTTCTAAAAAACTGACAATGTCGTTACATCTTAAGAACTATATAAGAACCAGTTAAAAAGATATCATATTGGAATCCATGGAATTTTTACGATTTCATTTGTTCGTTCCATCGTCGAGTGATGTTAAATTATCGTTGTTTACATGTGAAGGTGAGAATATTTCAAATTTTATTTTCTTCCCAGACCACTTAGTGGCTGCCAGCGACCATTTGCAAGCAGATTAATTAAACAATAAAAGTCACTGCCGATCGATGTCAAAAATCGAAATAGGGAAAAATTTTTATTTTCAATATATAATCTATTCTCTCTATAAAATGGAAAAATTTAACGCCATTTTGACAAAATAAGCAAAAAAACTTTAGCTATATATATTACAAAATAAAAAGAGGAAACAATGCGTTATTAAAAATAATAATTTCGTTTGCAATAATTACTTATCTATTCAACATAAACATATCTCGTATATGCATATTTCAAAAATATCTGGTTTCTTTTGTTATATAAGATATCACATTATCTAAAATATATATATAAATACACGTGTACGTATGTATGTATGTATGTATGCATGTATGTATGTATGTATGTATTTATGTATTTATATATAGCAAATAATTGTTTATTAAATATAACAGTAATGTTTATAAACGTATTGATGATCAATAAAATCCATACATAACAAAAAGGTCTTGGATTATGTATTGAACTGTTATATCTCAGCCTTCGATATTACAGTGCAAAAACATGATGAAAACGTTAGAGTAGATAGTAATAACTAATATAATAAGAAAATCAAATAAAAAGTGAACTAGTGGTATATATGCAATTAAACAAAATAAATTCCATTGATAAGCCAAAACATAATCATACAACAATTAACAAATAGAAGGAACATTAACAAAGCTATATATAGAAATATAAAGATTAATCAGTGTCATCATCAAATTTGAAAAAAAGTTTTTTTCTGCGAAGTGCGGAAATATCGAAAGATTTGCGAAAACTACTTTGAGAATCAGATTCCCAATCATCCAAGTAATCGAAAGTACTTTTATCCAAAAAGGAACCACTTTCATCACTGTAAAATAATTAAAGTTTTTCTTGGGTAAGTGTGTTGTTTGAAAATTATGTGCGCACATGTACTCACTTAAATTTTGTTTTACTTAAATCCTTTCTTATACGGAAAGAGCATTGATTACGATTAACTGGCGTAGAATTGGAAATCATTTCATTTGGTGAATGACAGGAAGCACCATGGTTTATTTCAGTGATATCGCCATCAAATTGAAAATCAATTCGAGCCTTTGCCTTCGATATACACCCTGTTGGAGTTGACGATACTAAGTAGGAACGAGCAGTGGAGTGTTTATTGTTCAATTTATTTGCACTGGAGGGCTTCATATGTTTTACATCGCGTATACCGAATACCGATAGAATACAAGAAAAAAATCGAAAAACTACATTCTTTAATTTGCACCATTTTAGCCAAACCAAACGACTTGATATGCGGACTGTTTTTTTCTGCAATAAATCATTTACAATTATAGTAAGCTTATGCCAGTTCGCTAAAAATACTTACCATTTTACTAACTAATTCCCAATTCGTTCGTCTTTTCCTTCCTGGCAACATTTTAGCAAACTTTTTATGACTTAATAGTTGATCAACTGTAGGTCTTTGTGAAGGATTTGGTGTCATCATCTGTTTAATTATACACTTTAAATCTTCCGAAATAGTTTTAATGAAATCCTCTGGCAAAAGCCCACTTCTCAGTTGCTGCCATAAGGGGCCATTGGCAGGTAATTCTAAAAAGCATGCTAGCTCCAATATTGCAATACCCAAACTAAATATGTCCGCCGCTTTTGAAAATTCACCCATCATGATCTCTGGCGCTACATAACGCGAGTCACCTTCTGTTGCTTGATGACGATTCGCTCTATCCACGTCGATGACCAAACCAAAATCAGCCAATCTACAGTTATCATCGTCACCAATCAATACATTATCCAGTTTAATATCTAAGTGAATAAGATTGCGATCATGTAAACTTTTTAAAGCCAACAACAAATCTAACAATATCGACCAAATTTTTTCCTCGGGTATGTGCCGTTTTCTTTCCAAATAGCGTTCTAAGCTTTCTCGACATAATTCCATTTGCATGTATAAGCGATCTTTTTGCTCCCAAGCGCGATAGAAACGCACACAATTTGCATGTCCCGAAAATTGTTCATAACGCCGCACTTCTTCTAAACGTTCTTGACGGTACAATTCACTTCGAAATAATTGTTTGGACATTTTTACAGCGTACAAGCGACCATCCTCCTTAGACTGTACTTTAAAAACTTCACCAAAAGATCCTTCACCGATTTTCGCCAAACATGTAAAACACTGCTCAAAATATGTTTCGTTAACCGAAGGATCATAAGTAGCGCAAAGTAAGAGAGAGTCCGTATCCCAGCAAGAGTCCTCTTCACCGCGAAAAGATATTGCATGTGCTGTATGCTTACGATTACAATTAGAATCATAGCGCGGTTTCAGTTTTGGTGGTTTAAGCCTACTTATGTCATCTTTCCGCTGTGTCTATTTGATTGAAAATATTGATAAATACTTACCAATATAGTTTTCGCATAAAATACAGAAAACAGCTTTTATACCTGTTTGAAAGAATGCTGAAAACTTTCCTCTTTTATCTCAGGTACTGGACGAATGTGACGTATGGCACCACCCACCGCCATTGCATTAAAAGGTATTTGGCCGCAGTTAATCGATTGAACAGTTTCGACAATTTAGAATCTGTGTAACTATATATTATTGTCATAAAGAGACAAAAGATAAATACCAGAAAGATCTTTGTATTTTACTTATTTAACTTAAACGAAGTGAATAGATTTACTAATTCCTTGTGACTTTATTCACTTTTGTTTCTGTATACAACCACCAGATGATTAATAATTATTTCACTTAACCTTTTAAACAATTCAATTATCTTTTATTCTAATTAAGTTCATTTACTATTATTTTAATTATAATTTAAAATATTATATTCAGCTTCTTCTTTCATTCCACTTTTCTCACACATTACTAACTTCGTTCGATTACTAGTTAGTAATTGTAGTTAGTTAGTAATCACTTAGCTGAGTTGTCAAATAAATGCAAATGTTCTTCACAAATTATAAAAAAATATCGTAATTACAAATCAGCAGTTTTACGATAATGCCATTAATTTATATAAAACAGCTGTTATTCGTCAAATTCAGATGCTTTTGCCACAGAAGAATCTAAGTAAAAAATGATACCAGTGAATAAGATTTGTAGTCTATTTGGATCATAATTGAACACTCGACTGCGTTTTGCATGGCTGCGCTTGACATCTCGATACGCGATAAAATTTATACGTAAATTTAAACTAAGCGAACAAAGTTCAACGCTTGATAAAATTAAAAATTTTCCAACTAACTAAATTTCTACACATTTCCTCCAATTAGATGTTACGATATCACAAATCATCAACAGTCGGAGCCATTTGCACTCATTTACTTTTCATATAAAAAACTAACATAAACAAACTAATGTTACCATATTAAAACGGAAAAATTTTTGAATCGTTATTAAGCAGACTTAAAACATGAAGAGTTTACATTAAGTTGGAATGTTTTTTTCCGAGGCTATTCTTACTTTTCTTTTTCATTACACTTAAATGATTGAAGATTACCCATAAGCCTCGCCCGTTACATTGTTATGAAAACAAAAAGCTTAATCGTTTATATGGAATTCTACAGACTTCTATGGAATTCTGAATGCCGAGTACAGTTTAAGTTTTTTATCGCGGAATATTAGTGAAAAATAATTTCCGAAATTATGTACGTACCTGTTGATTACTGCCGTAACAGAAAATATGTAGTCGCAAAAAATTGTAGTTACGTCTTAAACTCGTGTGTTTCTCGATGCTATCCTTTGTATATTTAATGACTGATTTCAGATTAATGCCTTTTCTTCTATATGCTCTTACATATATACACAATTGTAAATGCGATATCTGATATGCGTAATAGTCCCTAGAACCATTAATTCAATATGAAGTTAACATTAAAGTGCAAAACTTCTCAAATATCAAAATTGCGAATTTTTAAATTTCAAAATAATGCTGAGTGAAATTGTTGAAATTTTATCTAGAACACACCTAAAACAATTTCTTTCTTGCCCTTGGTTTGTACAGTTGTTCATTTTTGATACCAACTAAGCGAATGTTTTACAATGTTAAGTTAATAATATATATAGTTTTGCATATTTTCCTCCCATCACCGAAGGATGAGAAGGAAGCTTCAGAGACCGCACACATATTTAATTTAATAACCAGTTATATCACTTACTTCTAGATCATTATAATCGTTATCGTCGCCTTTATTCGCATAATTATTCGACAACGTACGCAAGCTTTTTCCTGTTTAATGGTATAGTAACACATTGCGCTTCGCTCTAATTCGCGTGTTTATCCGCGCCACTTAGGGCGGTAGTATTCCTACCAGGCTGTATTGAAACTGTGTTATACAAAAATTTTTAATTGTTTTACCTATACTAAAATATCATATAGAATAATATAAATTTAGACATACCCTAAGTCAAAAAAATGTATGTACTGTTTCGTGTCGAGATTTTGAATTGTAAAATTTTATTTATTATTATCTTCTTAAATTTCGTTTCAAATAAATAAATAAATGAGAAAGTAAGTTAGCTTCAAGTGTTTATATATAAAACAAAAAAAATATGAATATAAAAGCATGTTCAGATTCGATCACAAAGTTAATTTTCATAAAAAACTATAGCTAATCCATCTCTATTTTTCTCAAGGTTTCTTGAAAGTCCTCTTAATGGCAATAAAATCAAGATAAGAGCACATTATATATCTCTCTTTCAGAGTTGCGTTTGTAAAAAAGCAGCTGCAAAGGAAAAATATAAACAACTGTTAGAAAATGAATTAATTATTCAAAAATTTAGGAAAATTTAGAAAAAATAAGGTGTGTCCAAAATTACATTTGTGAATTGTGAAGTAAACGAAAAAAAAAATTTGGCAAATGTAAGTAAATTCTTTTTTTAAGTATCGAGCTAAATTAAGCAATGTTCACCAATGTGTGCATTTCCAAGGCAATGTCCTTACCCCCTTTTATGGTCGGTCATTGAGGAGAAGAACAATGACATCCTCGACGCAGAAAAAAGGCTCCTCATAAGACGGGCGAGAAAGGCTTCGCGGAATGCTTCTGACCCCCTAGCGTTACTTCAAAATAAGCAAGTAAATTGTTTCTAATATTTACAAACGACATTACTACTATTTATTATTTCGAAAATCTAACTACAATTTTTAAACATTTTTCTCAGCCCAAAGAAATTGGGAAGAACAGCCAACGTTTGTGCCCAACCTTGGCGTCCACTAAAAACTGGCAAGAGATCATTTATCACTCCAAGCGACCTATGAAGATGATAGTATTGAAGTGTGTGTAAAGATACCACAATTGAGGCAGTTGGATGAGCCACACAAAGGCTTGCTGGCACGAAATTTATAGACATAACAATTTTGAAAATATAAATAATTTTTAAACGGGTAACTCGCAAAAAAATTTAAATTAATAAATAAATAAATACTGAAGGTAAAACTTTTTATATACTGGACCTGCTTTTTATTTGTTCATAAATGAGCATAAAAGGAAAACATATGTGGCATACAGGAGTGGAAGAGAAAATTTAATAAATATATATATATATATATATATAGGAATATGTAAGTAAAAAACGATGGAGGAAGGATGAAAGTTAGATTATGTTTCCATGCTTCGGCTGGTTTGACATCGCGTATGTGATAGCATTCAACATTATTGGTTAACTATCGGTTGTTGTGCAACACATAAGCGCAACAGCTGTTAAAAACACTTTCTTGTATTTGTCAACATATGCGTAAGCAAAAGTGTTGTTCAGAGTTTCATTTATAACAGAAAACTGCTGCAATTTTGAAAATAAATAATGAAATGAATGGATGCGTAAACGGAACTGACGGGTTTGTTTTCAAAAGCCTGCATAAAACGAAGCACTTCCCATCGACCGAAAGGCACAGTTTAAATGGAATGTTGGTGGGTTAATCTACATATTCGTGCACGCTTTCTTGTATGTTATTTATTCATAGGTTTGCGACTATGAAATAAAAATATTGGCGTTTGATTTTACATAAACGGGATCAAACCACGACTCGCATATATGAAGACCATTGGGAATACGATCATAGTAAGGCTTGGCTACTTGGTAAGCAGTAAAATAAATTAAAGCACTATGTATCTTCATAATTCAATTGCAAATTTTAGGCGATAGTGGCTACTCGTTAGGGCCGTGGTTAACGCCAGCGTACACTACTTATAATTGAAATTGCCCGCACTTTACAACTTATATCTTGCAGAAATTTTTACAATTCCCTGTCGCATAGTGCGTTTTTGTTTTTTGGCGGCCACTCATATAATATAATGATTACATCCTTCTATTACATATTATTTGCCTTTCGATAATTATTCAAATATTTAATTAAATTAAAAACAAAAGCAACTTAAACAAAGCTTAACAATTCTTCTTTTTTTTTTTACCTCGAATATAAAAAACTCCTTAAACGACAACAGGACGGCGCAAAACCAGTAAATAAAATTCACTTGATTAAATCCTCGTTTTAACCGTTATCACCATTAGATGTTCGTTTCGCAAATTTTTAAATTTGTCCCCTGAGACATAAGTGAAGAACATATTATTATAATTTATGACATAGACCATTTGGTTGGCGAATCATCATCATCATTACGGCGGCGAGGTACGCGAACAAAAAGGCTTAAATATATTGTTTTAACAAATAGTACGATTGTTAGCTTAGCCAGTTTAGAAAATGCACTGAAATCTATTTTACTTACACGCTTTTCCCTTATAATTAATTAAGTCATAAATTTCTTCTATACGCAGTCTTTTTCCACTTTATATATATTTTTATTTTTTGCATTTTGTAAAAACTATATAAAATGTATAATTGTATGCTTACTATCAATTTTTTCGTCTTTTTCCAATTTATTCGCAAAATACTCGCAAGTAGTTGGGTTGTTTGTGTGCTTATCAAAGAGGAGCACCAGCTGTTCTCTTTCGGATTTTAACAGCCACAATTGTATATAAACAAAAGTTTGCCCATTTTCTTTGCTTTTTCATTTACGTATGAATGAAAGCAACGAAAATCACACGAAAGTCTTATGCGATTAGGACGAAAAACGTTTATCGATTATCAGTTTGGCCGCGAACAAAACCTAACTTTCAGATATGAGACAACCACGTAAATTTTACTTAATTTGTGAGAATATAAGCGAAACTTTAATGTAAACCGTGATTTTATTATGTCCGTTTACATTGTTTATCATGCGTTCAATTTTTATTTTCACGTCTGAGAACAAAGCGAAGATTCATTGGGTTAGCAGCAATGAAGCTGTTGCCACAATGAAGCTTCGCTTATATTATCACGTCTGGAGGACATATACATATATACGAACCTTAATAAACTAAATTTATCTCCTATTTCATGAAAAATGTATAATTTAGAAGCCTCCCCCCGCACTAGAGAAATAAGCGAAGCGTTATTATGTCGTCCCCCTATGATTTACCACTTCCCACAAAGTCTTGCAAAAAGTCGGCAAGATTGCAGCCCCATTCGGCGTCGTTGTGTGTTCTCTTATTTGTTCACCGTATAGACGGTCAAATGTTTTTGAATAGTTATGGCTGGTTCTAGGTAGCTAGTTGATAATATGCTGATTTGAGATGTTAAAAGTATATTGATAGTAGAGAGTACTCTCAATTTTTCATTGTGTTCTGGAATCTAAGATAATTCAATAATTGAAAACGTTTATGGATTAATGGAACGCAAAATGATGTAAAGGCGTAAGTAGACGCATGGGTGTAAGAACTGGTAACCCTAAATAAATAAAAAAACGTACTCATAAATTGAGACGAATCTTAAATACCCACCAAGTGCGCATATCTAACATATGTGATGTCATATATTGTGCACGAAACCCGCCTATCAAATGATTATTTGATACGTTCGAACAAACAGTTCAATACTTCTCTTCGTGAGATTTGACTATAGTCATAATCATAGCGAAATATTTCAACTTAACACTTTTTTTGGGAAGTGTAAAAGCACAATTTTCACTTTCAATAATATAGATTTTTCAATATATTTAAAATATATACAAGAAGATAGTAAACGAACCGTAATTAAATATATGTACTGTTTAGTTATAAGCAGAATGATAAAATTAATATGCTCACCATTTTATAACAAATTAATAATAAACAGAAAGAGAGAAGAGCAACATCTTAGCAATACTCACTTAAGTTAAAAAAAATTCTTAATGCAGTGGATTCATCCAGTATCAATTTAATTTAAGAGGAAATTGCACAAAATTACGGAATGCTTAAAGCGTCGGTTTTCATTTTAATCTTAGTGGCGGTCGTTGTCGTTGCCTGGGCAATACCAAAGCGAGATGATATGATTAAATCGCCGCATAATCCTTTAGAGCACGATTCCCTGCACGCTGCTCATTTTGATGATAATAAACATAATCCTCAGTATGACCATGAGCAATTCTTGGGCGAAGATGAGGCCAAATCATTCGATCAATTACCTCCGGAGGAAAGTAGACGACGTCTTGGTATAATTGTGGATAAAATTGATGAAGATAAGGATGGGTTTATTACAATGTACGAATTAAAACAATGGATTTTATATACTAAGCGTCGTTACATTGATGAAGATGTGGGGCGCCAATGGAAACATCATAATTCAAACAATAGCGACACTATACCATGGGAAATATACAAAAAAAATGTCTACGGTTTTATGGACAGCCTAACGAAGGAGGAAAAAGAACATGAAGAGAATGGTATATCATATAAAAGTATGCTCGGCCGCGATCGGCGCCGTTGGGCTCAAGCCGATCAGAATTTGGATGACGCGCTGAATCGTGAAGAATTTACTGCATTCTTACATCCTGAAGAGCATCCGCTAATGCGTGATGTAGTTTTGGACGAAACCATTGAAGATATTGATAAGAACAAAGATGGTAAAATATCTGCCGAAGAATATATTGGAGACATGTATCGCGCTGCGGAACCTAATGAAGAAGAGCCAGAGTGGGTGACCAGCGAAAGAGATACATTCATTAAATTTCGCGATGTTGACGGAGACGGTTTTCTAGATCGCGAGGAAGTGCGTGCTTGGGTTGTACCTAAAGATTTTGATCATGCTGAAAGCGAAGCAATGCACCTGATATTTGAAGCCGATGCAGATAACGATGAAAAATTAACTAAATCTGAAATTCTTGACAAATACGATATTTTCGTAGGTTCTCAAGCCACCGATTTTGGCGAAGCTCTTGCTCGTCATGATGAATTTTAAAAAAAAGAAATTACGAACTTTATAAGAAAGTAGAACTTATTGTACACTCTTAAAGTTTTCTTTACTTAAATCGCTTTAATTGTGAACGTTTATACCACATAGAAAGTGCAAATTAATTTGCGCGTCATACAGACGTAATCATTAAATACTATTGCTGCTATAAAAGATGGAACACTACATGGAACTTTTGATTATGTATGTATGAAATCACTGTTAAAAGCCAAATAATTTTAATTTAGTAAAATTACTTATAAATGTTTCTAATTTTGATTTATGTACAATTATTAGTTATTTCATGCATTTATATACAAATACTTATTAAATACATTCTATTTTTAAACCAAACGTAAACAATTTTTTCTTTAATGTTCAATTCCATAATATAATGTAGTTTCTGTATCCCACACCACTTATAGTATGGCGTATATTAAGTTTGAGCAGATGGATGTGTGCAATACCCAAAAAGACTTATCATATGTGCGTCGTTTTATTATATTCGAAATTGATTTAAGCCGTCCACGTCGTTTGTGTTCAGCCAAAGGGATGAAAATCGGTGCACTAACGTGCTTTTGCTTGAGTAAACTCTATCGAAAGTAAATAACATTTTTACGGCCATCTCCCATATGACGCTTTAATTTGAAAAAATCGTTATATGAAAAAGTCAATCTTCAAAGTTTCTCGGAAAAAAACCCATTGAATAGCAGTGTTCCGTTACACTAAATTGATGAAAAATATTGCATCGGATAGGCCAGTTTCAAGAACCACTTTACACATAAGCGTTCCTACCAAAGATAACCACTAATATGGCAAGAAGGTTTAATTTCTTACATTCCATGCTCACAATTGGTCAACAGATTGGTACAAAAATTAATTCTATTAAATTCATTTATTTACTTTATTTATTTATTTACAATGTCTACCGTAGGTGCTATAATAAACTAAAATAATATAAAATGTTTTTAAACGATCTAAAGCAGAGGAAAGGAAAATTGAAAGTAAAGAGAACAAAAAAATAAAAGAGACTAAGCAATAAAGAAAAGATAGGATAACAAATAAAAAAGAAGCAGGAACCAAGAAGGTAACTAGACTAGTATGCAAGGAAATAACACATACCATAATCATGCCTCCATCCCAATACTAAGTAGTTGTTCTAATCTCACTATTCGCGGCGAAGGTTGAAAGTCTTCGTTTGGAATTGAGATAAGAGGATCTAAACTGTCGCAACGCCCTAGGCGTGGAATTATAAGCTCTTATAATTCTTATCTGAGAGCATTTGGCCAAAGAGACCCACTAAAAAATAAAAGATTATAGAGCCCCGTCGACAGCTGCCGTAGAATAATGTTAAAGAAGTTAAGGAGAAGTCTACCTTTATTAAAATTAACGAAAGAACAACCTAGAGGCCGTAGAGCATAACCGAAAATATGGTCATATCGCCTCAACGAGAATACATATCAACTTTTATGGCATAAATTATAAATGGCGTAATTAATCCTTTGACAGACATTCTAAAAAGGAAAACTTTTTAAATGGCAAGTTGAGCCAAGAGCACAGAGAAAACATGTGTGCATCATAGTATAACTTATCGTTGATGATCACCTCAAAGCTTTTTTTTGTCCGTAGACTCCCTAATTTAGTCCCCATAGGACTGTTGTTTGGACTTTGCCGCATATAAAGATTTTTATGAAAAGTAAACTTTTATTGGGCAACAAAGTCTAATTTGTAGTACGGTGTTTATTAGCAAGAGAATAATAATATCTTTGAGAAAAAAATTAATTTTACTAAGTTTAGGCCACGTCAGTGCGTGTTGTGGGTCGCCTTCATTCTCAGTATGCCTTTACATGGAAACAAGTTATAATTTTTGCGAAACAACGTCTAATTGATAATATTTTATGAAAATGAAAAAAGAATTCTGTACGAAAGGAATAATGTAGGATATTTAATAATCGACTCTGCATGAATACATGGCCTAACGTGTGTTTTTAAGTTCCTTTAAAAATTTGCTCATAAATCTTCTTCATATTATTATCAACTAAGTCACTAAGAATGGAACACATCATCATTTCCGTGCACATATAATTTCTGATAAGACCATCAACTTTAATAATTTTGTACATAAGTGTGATGAAAACTATATGCTGAGATAAGCTTAATTTTGAATTTCTGACTGAACACAACAATTCCAATGTAATACAATATGAGCAGCGAACGCAGGCTTCGGAAAACAAATGAATGGATTATATACTCGACTAGTAATAACAACCAACTCAATTAAGTAATAACTACACTTCTTAAAATCTTCAAATTATTGCGTAGAATTTATATTTAATCGTAAAATTCCTTCTTTTCTTTCAAGGTAAGTTGAAAAGTATTTGTGAGAATGATTCGGATCTACTTTTGTGAACAAAAACTATTTGAAGAGTATAAATTCCTACTTTAAATCTTTCCACTATATGTTATATATATCCCTTTTCTTTTTTACTTTTCTAGAAATTACATTATATTATTTTTCATAATAATTGCGTGTACATATATGTTAGACTTCGGATATGTTATCGAAGAACAATATCATATATATATAATTTATTTGCCTTATACTATTCAATCTCGTTATACGCATATAATTTTTACTTTCCTATAAGTTACGCGTAAAAGGGACAACAAATATTGCTGTTTATATATATTTGCTTACATAATTTGTGAGTGTAGTTCAACGGAAACCGCAATTCCATTTGCATATTTTCCTTATTTTGGACTTGCTATTAGTGTATAAAGGTTCCACGAAAAAAAATTATTTTTTTCCCCAAAATTTCTATCTAGAAAAAATTGCGCAAATATATGCTATCATGGTCAATTCATCAATTAAAAATGTGTACCTATTTTAAAGAAACCTTCTCCACGTTGGAAACGGAAGTTGCTCTTCTTTCCTTTCCTTAAATTGAAAGCTCTATCTGCTTCTTTTCAGAAGGAACTATTATATTGCAATGCCGAAAGGAGTCGGATTTTCAAATTCCAAAGTATACTTATTGAATATATAACAAAAGTACTGAGTGAAGCATACTAAAAGCGTCGGTCAAAACTGAGTTAATTTTTTCTAATGTTGGCATATTTAAAATCATAAGAATTATTGTATACATACCACCATTCATACAATTTCCCTGTTTGCGTACACACAAATCACATATACACTTAGGCATTTATGTGTTTAAATTTTTATGATGTAGAGTACTAACACATTGGTAATTGTGCATACACTTTCCGAAAGCTTCAAAAAAATTCCTATACATACATATATGTGAAGGTTAAATGATCAGCTGATTGTGTTCGCCAAATTTGAGTTTTTATTCGAATAAAATTTAGCATATGCTTTTTGCTGTCATTTACAACGATTTATATTCAAAGCACTTAACGCCAACAGTTGAGAAAAATTACCGTTTATTTACTTCATTTGATTATTATCAATAAAAATATTCTTTTGTTTTATAATTTTATGTTGCAGTTTGGCAATACTCCTGCAAATGATTATATATATATATATATATTGTGACTTGTTAAAAAAAATTAACAGTTTAGTAAAAGCGTCAAAATTTTAATCGCGTTTGAGAAGTTTTGCAAATGCTACAGATCATATTCACCGAAAAATCAAATGAAGAAATAAGACGAAGATTCTAAGCCTTTGCAACAAATAAGCTCACGACCATTGAGAACAAAGAATATTTAAATAAAAGTTTGACATTGCATTTTGTGAACGAAGAGATACAAATAATTTATTTTGCTTCTAGAACAATACAGCACGAGGTCATAGACGAATGTGTGGTCAAAGAAAGGTATCAAGAGGAATTGCTTGTAGTAGTGTAATCACAAAACAATTAATAGATTTAACCATAATCGGAGACATATAACAAAAACACAATGGCAATATATTGTTGGGGTAATACAACGCACGGTGAATTAGGTTTGGGTGGCATCGAAGATGAACAGGTATGTGCAGAGGTTTTATCCTACAAAAACTAGAAAAATGAGCTTGAGTTTCTAATGGCAGATTCTGACACCACGTAAAATGGATTGGAGTCCACCCAACTCATGTATTATACAAGTTAGCTGTGGTAGTTGGCATACCTTATTTCTAACTTCAGATGGAAAAGTATTTTCATGCGGCAGCAACGACAATGGCCAACTGGGACATGAACTGCAAACGAAAAGGCCACGTATGTCCCCATTTAGTATGTACTCAAGATAACTCATGCTTCTCCAATTCAATTCAAATTTACCTTCTTCTTTTTCATGTTTTGTTGTAGTGGAAAATTGTTGGGAATTATTTTCATTATGCACATAATGTTCTTTGTAGTGCGCGTTTTTTTTTTCATTAATAGCATATTCGTTCATTATATTTATGTGATCAATCAATATTTTTAGGAGAATTAAAAGATTTTTTTTAATTTATCTTAGAATTGATAGCAGAATTGGACACGTATGAGATAATGCGTATTAGTTGCGGAGCACGCCATTCCATTGCTTTAAACGAATGGGGACAACTTTTTAGTTGGGGCCATAACGACTATGGCCAACTTGGCTTATCAAATGATAAAGATTTTGTTAGTGTACCAAAAATAATACGCAACTTACTTGCTAAGAACGTTATACAAATATCATGTGGTAGTAACCACAGCGTGGCACTGACAAATTGTAAGTAAACGACATAATGCTATGGGCCTTAGAAGAAAAATTAAACTTGCTTTGGCAGGTGGTGAATTATACTCTTGGGGCTCCAATATATATGGCCAGTTAGGTATAGCCAATGGTATCGAAATAGTGCATTCAAGTATACCGCTTCCCATCACATCGCTGCAGGGAATACCAATTGCTTATGTTGCATGTGGTGGCAATCATTCGTTTGTTATTTCTAAATCTGGTGCGGTCTTTGGCTGGGGCCGTAACAATGCCGGGCAATTAGGTCTGAATGATTACAATAATCGATATTATCCAACTCAGCTAAAGACGTTACGCAGCTTGGGAGTTCGTTATATAGCATGCGGTGAGGAATTTTCCGCTTTTCTTACGAATGATGGTGGCGTTTTTACTTGCGGCTCTGGCAGATATGGTCAGTTAGGGCACGGTGGCAATGCCAATGAGGTTTTGCCACGAATGGTTATGGAATTGATGGGTAGTACGATTACGCAAATTGCTTGCGGCAATAGGCACACATTAGCTTTAGTGCCATCCCGCGGTCGCGTTTATGGCTTTGGACTGGGATGTTCTGGTCAGTTGGGCACTCGCGCCACAAATAATTCAGCAATACCTCAAGTAGTTTTAGGACCATGGGTAAATTCAAAATAGTCACTGTAGTTTCTTTGAAACATAATTGCTTTGTATGTGTAAAGGTTTCACCTAGTGGTTCAGCATTGATACAAACTGAGCTCGCCGAAAAGTCTGAGTCTTGTTTCTTAATAAAACAAATCTTTTCGGGTGGTGATCATTCCCTGGTCACATGCACTTATTATGCTGATAAAATTCCGGCCACTGACTGTCGTTTATATGAGTAAGTTATTGCCATAGGTATTTAACGCAAGTAATTATTTTGAAATTTAATGTGCAGCGCTCGAACTCAAATACTTCATTTAACCCAAGAAGCAGCCGAACAGTGTTCCCAAGTTCACTGCGATAGTAATATTGATATGGATCTTTTATCAGCGGTTGAATTGATATTCAAGAGTCAAGCTTGCATAAACGGCTCTTTTTTGTTATCCGATGATCAGCATTTTTGTTGTACCTCTAAGCATCATGGTGTAGATTTAAATGCAGCCGCTAAAGCGTTTAATTATTTAAGAAATGTCGAAAACGATGGTCTTAAGTCTTTGGTAAGAAGTAGATATATTGTACTGCTGGATGGTATCTAATATATGCCGTTGTCTAGTACATCATATCTGCTATATATATATGTATATGTTGTTTTTAGATATGGGAAAAAATAACGAATGAATTGCTACCGTCATTAAACTCGTCGCCGGCAGACGTTGAAACTTTGCGAATTTACTTGGTTTTACCACTGTATCATGAATTTGTCAACTCAAAAAATTATGAAAGACTTCATACACCCTTTAGTACAGCAATAACACGTTTAACTGAAATTCCTCGAAAGATCGTTGCCAAATGGTGGTCTCAAACTTCCAGTGAGTGGTTTGAGCAGTTGGTGTCGAATTTCAAAAATGTTGTTGCCTATATAATCAGTTTCAAAGTATCTCAAAACACGGGTCAAGGCGAGAAAACAGTAATTTTTAACGATAAAAAACGAAACAATTGACCCGTAAAATAATATCTCCGCTTTACAGCTTATTACCTATAACAGACATTTGATGGCAGCTTTGAAATTGTTGGTCTTTTTACATCGCATTAATAATACCGAACGTAAAACCAAATTACACTATGAACTATTCCATTGGCCTGAATTGACGGATTTTGTTGATATCCAACAGGAGTACCTACACTGGTTGTTCGATAAAACGGTAAGGTGTTTATACAACTGGATAATTAATTCTCATTGAAGGTCATCATCATTTACATCATTTTCAGTCTGATTCTTTTCACATCTGTAACTATTCATTCCTATTCAACGCAGCTGCCAAGACGGTATTATTACAAACCGATCAAATTATCCAAATGCGTCACGCAATGCAGAGTGCCACCAATAGCGTAATTAATTTATTGTTTTTCAATTCTTTCTCAGTTAAATATGAAGACATACTCATTGAAGTGTTTTTTATGCGATCTTTACAGAATTTTTTTAATCTCGTTACCTTCGGTGCTTTTGCCTCTCAATTCATTGTGTTAAACGTTACGCGCGAAAACCTGGTTCAAGATACTCTCCGCGAAATTATGCAGTACAATCAAAATGATTTGAAAAAACCACTGAAGGTAAGATTTTTAAAAACTCCGCAAAATCGAAGTAATAAATCGCCTATGCAGTAAAAGTTCTTTATTTGCGAGGTATATGTGCCGTGAATACAGAAGTCGTGGATACGGAATGGTAATTGGATACCTATTGGAATCCTTTTATTATTATTTATGTACTTATTAGATCCGCGATAAATAGGAATTTTTTTACATTTTTTTTCTAATTCGCGAATAATGAAAACGCGAATGAAGGAAGCGCGAATAAGGAGCTTTTACATAGTATATAGTTGCTTGATGTAATATGACTGCATTGAAGAAGCATTGGAAGTGGGTACAGAGATATAGCTATAGATATAGAGATTAATTACAAAACATTTTTTTTTCTTATTTGACTGTATAAAAAATAAATTAGATTTGCTTAAAACTGTAGAGTGTCTCTTCTGTTCCAGATTTGAACAAGATAGAAATTCCAATGTGTTTGCGAAATATTTTCCATACCCACAACTATATGATTTTCTGCGTCTGGCGAAATTGCAATAGACATCAATATCTGTTTTAAAATTTTCTGTACACACGTCAGTTTCATATATCAAACCTTACGAGAGATAACACCAAGACGTGTTTTAGAATCACAAAACGTTCAAAGTTGCGTTTACATTCCATCTGACTGTCTATTATTGTGGATTTTAAAGCTTTTACGTCAATTCTCCAAATTCAGTGCAAGCTTCGAATAATTAAAAAATTGAACAAATTTTTCAATCTGTTCCCCTATTATTGATTACGATCAATTAATAAATTACCATATATATTATTTATTATTTTAATTTTAGACTAATGAATTTTACCATATATAATATATATAGTTGTTGAAGAAATCTAAAATGTTAGGCAGAAAACAATTTTAATGAGTTCGTTGACTAATCCACACTTAGGAAACAGTATATTTAGGGTACTGTTGGTCTTTGTGGATTCGTGGGATCTTTTATGTAATAGAATACACATTTCCAAAGTTAGAATCTAATTTAAAACACTTTCTAATCGATTGTAATAAAGCTAGCAATTTGTTTTCATTCCTACAGATTAAATTTTGCGGTGAAGAAGGTGAAGATGCTGGCGGCGTACGCAAAGAGTTCTTTATGCTATTATCAAAGGATCTTATTGATCCGAAGTATGGCATGTTCAAAGAATTTGAGGACTCACGTGTAGTTTGGTTTGCTGATGTTTCATTTGAGACTGAAAATATGTACTTTTTAATAGGCATAATATGCGGTTTGGCCATATATAATTTTACGATTATCAATTTGCCATTCCCGCTAGCGCTATATAAGAAACTTTTGGAAGAGCCCGTTGATTTAACCGATTTATATGAATTATCTCCAACATTGGCAAATTCCATGCAACAAATTTTGGATTATAATGACGATGATTTTGAAGAGACTTTCGATTTACATTTTGAAATAATCAGGGACATATACGGAGAATCGAATTGTCAACCATTAAAGCCGAATGGCGATGAAATAGCAGTAACGAAAGAGAATAGGTTGCTATTAACACGATATATATATACATGCGTACATGCAGACATCTATATGCATATATATATATATATATATATATATATATATATATAACTTAACCATTTATTTTCATCTTATACAGACAGGAATTTGTGGATCTTTACGTGGACTTCATATTTAATAAAGCAGTGGAGAGCCAATTTAAAGCTTTTCAAAAAGGATTTATGAAGGTATTTGCATTTCATACGTACGACACGGTAGAAATATGTATTCGTTTTGAAAAGAATTTCAATGATTTACTATTTCAAACCCATGTTCATGCAAATCTATTAAAATTATTTAGCATTTTACGAGGCTTAATTATTGAGATTCTCTGGCAGCAACAGATAGATTTATGAACATGTTCATGAACGTACTTAATTTATTATTATTAATTCAAAATCTTACATTGATAAAGAGTATAAATACTTCAACTTAACTTATTAAAGAAGCAAACCCGTTGCGACATCAAAAAAGAAACAACCGTTAGACAGTTGTTTTGGGATGAAAGGAAAGTATAATAATCGAGGAAATTATTAACTGCATAATTAACAATTAATTTAGTTAATTTAGAGAGTTGCAAACATATCGAATGAAAAGAATGCATCTTGTAGAGCGTTTGAAAAAGTCGTGCTTCGAGAAAAACTTGGATTAGACATGAGATATTATAACTTTTTAATAGGTATTCTTTTGAAGCGCTTCGAGCAAAATCTCGATATTTCAGAGAACATTTTCTTTTAGGTACCGAATTTTATTCCCCATATTCTACAAAGTGCATAGCATTTGTTGAACCAGTAAATAATAAAAAAAAAAAACTGCTAAAATATTTTTGTAGTTGTTTTTCCACTTCGAGCAATATGACCGAATTAGTTAATTTCCATCCACTTTTGGATGTGGTTATAAAAATTATGCTGAATTATTTCTTCGCTGTCACAACAGTTAATACAAAAGATGTATTTTTAGGTATGTTGGGGTCGTGTATTACAAATATTTAGACCTGAAGAGTTGATGGCTATGGTTGTGGGCAATGAGGAATACGATTGGCAGGCTCTTGAATCAAATTGTGAATACAGAAACGGTTACCGTGCTACTGATGATACGGTAAAATCTTAGAGTTTAACTAAAAAAATCGATGAACTAATCTCACTTATGCTTGTCGGAGCAGATTAATTGGTTTTGGGAAGTATTTCATGAATTGTCTTCAAAAGATAAAAGGAAATTTTTGCATTTTCTTACCGGCAGTGATCGCATACCCATACAAGGCATGAAAGCCATTAAAGTAAGTGTTTCATGCAACGGTATTTGTTTCGATTGCTTATTATAAATTGATTTTCTTTGCAGATACTTATACAGCCGACACCGGACGACAAGTTTTTACCTGTGGCACATACCTGTTTCAATCTTCTGGATTTACCTCGTTACAAAACAAAAGAGCGCCTAAAATACAAACTGCTACAAGCCATTCAACAAACTCAGGGGTTCAGTCTTGTTTAATAGTTAAAATAAAAGGCGTCATTTTGTTAATATGATACATCACATATTCACATATTCATTGTTAACTGCCAGCATTACCATGCGTTTGCAGATTTTCTACTCATTTCCTTTTCTGTATCATCTTCGCTTATCAATCTTAGTACTTGAAACTTCCCTTATAAAAAAGACCTTGCAAAGTTGTTTTTAACGTTATCTAAATGTCATAATAATACACCTATATATATATATTTTTTAAACTTAAGTCATTTTTACTGAACTATGTATGCAGATTGCTTTAGTTTGTTTTCTGTTGACCATTATTAAATTTGTAAAGCTTGCAGTGTGTATTTTGGGTACCTCAGAATATTTTTGTAGATAGCGATCCATAAGCACACACGCAAACAAAAATTGCCTTTAAAACAAGACATTGTTGTTAAACTAGAGCGACTGATAATAAACAGTTTATAAAAAATAAACAATAAATAAAACTACGATTTGCATAAAAAGGAAAGAAAATTAACAAAAAAAAAAAAAAAAAAAAAAAAATGCAATTACTATTTTGGCTACATATTGACACTTATTTACTTTCAAGAAATATGCATCTACTCTTAGAGGACCCGTTTACGTCATTTAAACATTTCTCAGAAATTCTTATAAACGCCTGTAATGTTTTATTGATTCTATATTTTAATTCTTCAAAACATTAACAATTGCTTCGATTCATTGGTGTTCTCGCGGTGTGAGCTAAACATCGTTATTTTAAATTCATTTGAATGTGGAAAATTGACCTTCTCTAAGGCTTCTCCAAATTTCATTTTAAATTGCATACTAGGGTCGGTTCATAGTTCTCCATATCGAGTTAAAATGATCGAAATTTGAATACGATATCCAACAGCAATTTTACAATCGATGGATTTTTCATTCGATAAAATTCGAATAAAAAAAATGCATTTCGACAGCGTGCTCAATTCCCGGAACCATACACAGCCTCCTGAATCCATTATCTATAAAATACTAAACTTAATTAGGTGTGGGTAAAAGTAATGTGATAGACTATTCAAAAGAATGATTGGATTTGTCCTTGAATATCTAACTGCAATTTTTCAACATTTCTCTAGGTCGCTAGCGTATTCTGCAGGGAGAGCTGCTACAGCCTAAAGAAACTGGGCAGAACCATAAACGTTTCGGCGGCACTGCACAACCTTTGCGTTCACTATAAACTGGGAAGATATCATTTATATTCCCCAGCACTCCAAACGACCTACGAAGTTGATGGCATTGATGTGTGTGTATAGGCACCATAATTGATGTAGTTGAATAATTCAGGCAGAGGTTTGCTGGCATGAAATTTATAAACATAGCAATTTTTAAACTTATAACTGGCTCAGAATTGGCAGGAGCATCTTTAACTATCAGGGCCAATAGAAACCGCTCCAAAGGGGCGTACGCTCTTCTCTTATTTGGACCGTGGTCGTAGATGAGCTTTTGACGGAACTAAATGACGTGGTATACAAAACACTAGGTTATGCAGATAATCTGGCAATTTCCATGGTGGAAAAAAAAGCTGTAAGCATAATCCACAAGTAGTGACAGTCTAAACGATTGCACATTAATCCACAATCGTGGTGCCGTTTACGAAAAAGCGGAAATTAACATTGGACAACGTCCACATACACGAGGTTGTCCTTGACTAATGAAATGAAGTGAAATATCTAGGCATCTATGCAGGGAGACCGAGGGACCATGTTAGGTTGCGAATTTTTCTGTGTCATACAAAGAAGTCATATTAACAGGCTGGTATAGCATTAGGGCCAGAAGAAATAGGATTGCCGCTGGAAGGAATGTGCAGGGCAGCGGCAGGCAAAAAGAATCCAAAAATCTTCCGATATGGCAGATAAACTACTGGAACAAAAATGAAGCGACATACGTTCAGTCACGGGCTTCTACACGACTCATAATTTACTCAGATACCATCTGAATGCTATGCATATGTCTGATGCCGATTCATACAGATTCTACCAAGGGGCGAGGGAGACGCCCCATCGTTTTCTACGTGAATGCAAGTCCACGTGTTTGGCGAGCATTTTACAACGCTGGACGCGGTACGTCTCCAATCCGATCTACGGAAGCTAAAGAGCTAAGTCCAAGGGCGAATATAATAGACCTTTTAAGTCGCGATACGGTTTGTCCACGCAATTAATAATAATAATAATAGTCTCTTGGCGATAATTAATTGCCTCCCTAAAAAAAACCTAGCGATCATGACGGCGGTGATCGTCTGGTTACATAATTGCCCCACTGAGCAATATTGAGCACGGAATTTAGTTTTTGACCAAGTGGAGTTAAAACGTCATTTCTGATGCAAAAGAATATATAGTCTTAATATAACACTAGATAATAACTCCAATATTGGGAATTGGCAACACTGTTAACTGCGGCAAAATAACGTGAACTGAATGATATATTATGGACATATAAGCCACAAATCTATTGGCTTAGTCCATCTCCATTCAACATACCAAAAAAAAAAAAAAAAATTATGTATTAATATGATTTAATTATGCCTTGCATAAAGACTACGAACAACTAAAAAGCCTGGCAAGTCAAAATAAAGTACATTTTAATTTTAAGGACAACGTGTGGGTAGGTTCTCTTTAATTGAATTCACAGCTTTTCTTTTGATAAAAAGCAAGCGTTTGATTTCCCGAAATCAATTTCAAAAATGTGTCGTTTGTAAAACAATACATTTTATTCTATCCACACGCTGTTCTGTTTCTATCGCATTTTAATTTGTGTAGGGAATCCATATATGTTTTCATTTATTTATTTCTTTCTTCTTGGAATTCTAAAGAACGTTTAGAAATGTTTTTTAGTATATAAACATGGCATTGAACAGATTTAATGCTTTCAAATTATAACAAAAAATTCAACCACACTGGCAACAACGTATTAATCACGTATCTATAAGATTTTTGAGCTCGAACTGATCAATTCTTGTGTTGTATGTAAAATTTTAGCGCCTAAAGTATGTAAAATTTTATCGGGTCGGGTACGAGTGGCTGAATCCTATGTACCTAAAAATGAGGGCTCATACTATACTTTGGTACTGTAAAATATTTTATAGCCACTCTTACAGAAATCGCACTTGATTGCCTTTATACGTCCACAAACTAAAAGTGCGGTAACTCTCTCTCTCTCTCTCTCTCTCTCTATAACATACGTTTATATTATGAACTTGTAATCCTAAAATTTATGAGAGAGAATGTGTGAAATCACGGAAACGACAAAAGATTTAGACCGCGATGAAAATCTGGACAAGCGTCCAAAATTTGGGAATCGTTTTCTCACAAAAGATGAGAACGTTTTTAAACATAATGCATGGTAATTATCAGCGAAACCTGCTATTCATCATATAATATGTTGTCATGGCAGGAATGCGATTTCAAGAATATTCAGGTCAATGGGAATTTACAAGATATCGTAAAAAACCTGCAGGTGGTAGCAGGCGTTTAGCTAATGCAAAAGAGATATATGATTTCAATGCTTGGTATTTGGAAAATCTGCGAATAGAAAATTTTTTCATTCATATTTTGTATTTCAGGGATAATGTTGAATGGGATGAAGAACAAGAAAATCAAGCTTCACAGGCTGTCTTTGAAAACTCCAGCGAAAAGATGAATAGAAATGAGAGTGCTAAATTTAAAATTGGGGCAAATAAATACTGGGACTCATTTTATGAAGTGCATCAGAATAGATTCTTTAAAGATCGTCATTGGTTATTTACAGAGTTCCCAGAACTGGCTCCCAGGAATATTACGCAAGAGTGTAGAAGTATTTTTGAACTCGGTTGCGGAGTTGGAAATACGCTTTTGCCAATTTTGAAGTACAGTCTTGAAGCACAACTTAAAGTATATGGCTGCGATTTCTCTTCTACAGCCATACAAATTTTGCGAGCTAATCCGGCGTTTGATTGTAAAAGATGCGAGGTATTTGTTATGGATGCTACTTTGGAAGATTGGGTGGTGCCATTCGAGAAAGGATCTCAAGATATAATAGTAATGATTTTTGTACTCTCAGCTATTGAACCTGCTAAAATGCAACTTGTGGTGGAGAATTGTTATCAATATTTGAAACCAGGAGGTTTAATATTATTACGTGATTATGGTAGATATGACTTGGCCCAATTGCGTTTCAAGAGTGGTAAATGCTTAGAAGATAATTTCTATGTTCGAGGTGACGGGACGATGGTATACTTTTTCATGCAATCAGAGATTCGCAATTTTTTCACGAAAGCTGGATTTCTTGAAGAACAAAACTTGATAGATAGAAGATTACAAGTAAATCGAAGTCGTATGCTGAAAATGTACCGAGTTTGGGTACAAGCAAAGTATAGAAAGCCTATATCTGATAAAAAATGAAACTCAACCGCTACCACGGAACTTTTTTTAAAATTTTTTGTTTTGGATTTCAATAAATATGACACGTAATTCGATTTTTCCCGTGGAGTTTTTTTCTTTTTGTCTTTCCAAATGCTATATCCACACTAACGCTATGTTCGTCTTCACATTGAAGCACCGGAAGGCAAACAGAGTTAGAAGTCCATAATATGCTTACAACAGTGGTCCTTTTCTTCACCTCGGACTAGTCCTTGGTGGAACGTTCGCCGACAGCACGTTCATTACTCGAGTAAGAGTTGTGCATAAGACTTTTTGATTCCATTTGTTTTAAATTTTTATCCTCATTTCTGTATACTCCGTTGGATACCGTTTCCGATACATTTCACACTTCATTATCAGGAGTACGAACATGGATCCGGGACACTAATAAATCTAATATGAAAACATGGGTGAAACTATTGCGAACATATCTGTTTTTCCTTCGTTATTGTATTAAATGTAAGGTTAGAGACTGGAACAATGTCAATACGGTCTTTCTCTCAATTGGTTCAAGAATCGAACAATTGCGGGCTTATAAACCTGAAAATGATCGTCAAGGATAATTGAAAGAAGATAGACAGTCTCGAACAAAGTTTAATTTCACAACGTCAACGACATATAAAATATTAATCGGATGCCATTCCAATATCATTTATGGAGATTCTAAGTTTTCAATAATTTTCAGTCATATATGCATAAGTATACTCTGTGATAATTTGTTCTACACCGATTAAATACAAATGAAATTCAATCATTTAAATTTAAAGTACGGGTTTTTAACAGCTGCGGCGGCATCAAACGAATTTAAAACGTTTTAGTGTTACGTTATTTGGAATAATTTGCTCCCAATTTATGTAGAATTTTCTCACGCACTACCAAACAAGGCATTAAAGCAAATGATTTTCAACGACCCCAGTACGGGATTTAATTCATGCTTTTTTGCTATTATAAATTCGTCATGATCAAACGCTGGCGTCATTTTTACTGCACCTCCACCAAAATGTGGATCAACCACGTCAACACACATCAAGGATATGATTTCTTAGCGCAGCCGATGCATTAAAAAAATCCATTCGATTCACAATATTTTAAGTAAAGCTCAACAAATGGTTGCACTTTCTGTAATTCTCATATCACTTCCTTATCCTTAGTAAAATATTCTCTGTTCCGGAATAATAAGCATCACAATTTCTTAAGCTCTTAACTAACTGAGTTGATTGATCTTGATGTGATTCTCGTTCCATTTCTAAATTTCCTTGGAAAATTTTCACGTCCAATGCTTCGCCGGCTACCTCAACTATATCAGTCTATCGATAAAAATTGATTTTAAAGTTCAAATGAAAATTTAAAAAATTTGACACATAAATTATAAATTTAGAAACGATAAAAATAAATGAAGAATAGAGTACAATTGCGAATGATCTTTTCCCAATAACAATCACATACGGTACCAGAATTTACAATAACAAACACCTGAGCTCTTATTTTTAAAATGTAAACAATAGCACGTTGCTTGGCAAATGTAAATAAAAATTAGAATTTGTGTCAACAATTACATGCAGTACCAGACTTACAGCAACAGGTAAAATATAATATAATTGCAAGTATTTCGTTTATTTCGTCCGTATTCCGTCCGATGATTCGTAATAAAGTAATGAAATAAAACTGATAATTACAACCTCCAAAAAGGTTGTTGTATATGCTGACGCGTATAAAATGCAACTGGATAAACATTAAAATTACATTTATTATTATTAGTCGTGTTTTACTGTTGAGGCAAATAACTGTGGAAAAAGAAAACTTTGTTCAAATGAATGAATTGAATTTTTCAGAAATTTAAAAGGTCAAGATTCCAATACCTTAACGTGGAATAACATTAAATTGTATAGGCATTGTTTATGAACATTTGTTTCTGTCCATAACTTCGCTTCTTTCTGAGCTGGGTTTTGCTTCTTGTTACGATCTCGAAAAGTGATTGCGCGTAAGCAAAATTATTCACTGGGTTATCTCACGCATACTAATGTTCGAAGATAGTGTCAGAAATACGGAGGTAATTAAGCGAGTATTATTATGCGATCCTGAATGTCTGCTCCTTTAGTTTACAACTTAGCGATACTGAAACATTTTAAATTTAACGACAGAAATATATTCAATTTATTTTGACTTGAGCTCATTTGTAACAAATTTAAGCTTTTCTCTGCGAATTAGCTTTACATTAATACATGACAATATAAATTTAATAAAACAGAAAAACTACTAGGGAATATAAAAATGAAATTGGAACGTTTGGAATAGCTCATTCTCATTTTCCACCTTCTAATGCTTAGCGACGCCATCTTGAAAACTTCACAGTCGTTAAAATTGAAACAAAATATGCTTTAATTGTTGATTGTTATTGTTGGCAATACTTGAACTAGTCTTATTAAGCCGCCGTTTATTCTTCATATTTTTGTGTTTTTAGCTTGAGACTCTCTTTGGAATCTGAGTTACTGCAGTGTCATAAATAAATAAATAAATATTTTGTTTTTTTTTTTGCTTTCGCTAATGGTGAAAAATTGATTAAATAAAAAGTAATCGAAATTTTGAAAACTTGATAAATAAAAGTTAACCAACATACAACAATAATTGTTGACCAGTGGGTAAACACAAAAGCCACACCCAAATTTTTTTAATGCATGTGAAATCATATAAGCATATTGTAACATACTGTACTATAAGCAAATGTGCATGTAATTCTATTCAAACCAAACACTTCTCATTTTTAATATATTTCAGTTTTCAGAGAGATCTTTACTTGTTTATTATAGTGGTCAAAGCAATTATCATATAAATTTTTACTTATGAGTGTTGGTAAAGATTTGTAGTTTTATCAAACTGCTGTTGTTTGGTAAACGTATGAAATATTTATATCCTTCCACTCAGATTGATATGAATTTTGGACTATGTCAACACTCGAAGAACGTACAGCATATGAAAAAAATCCTTATTTCACTGGGCATATTTACGGCAATTTTTCACCATTCTACGTAACTATTGCGATTTGTACAATTGTACTCGGATCAATTATTATATTGAATATAGTACTGGGTTGCTGTTCCAAGTATCGTAAATATTGGCAGGATAGGCATACAGGTAAATATATTAGTAGGCATTATAATAATTCGAGGATTATACGCTATGTTGGGTGCGAACACACATATAATTCTCTTCCTATAACCATCGTAGTGGTTATACCAGCAAGCAAAACCGACTCGTGAATACTGGAAAGTTACTCCTATGCTTAAAACAACTTCTTTTCTATGACACTGTAAATGCGTTGCCGGAAAAAGCCGTATGAAAAATATTCAAAAGAAACATTACATAGGCGTACTGTAAAAATAATAAAAGGTTTTCGATTTCTTTCCGCTAATATTACTGCCTTAACCGGGGTAAACATTCGTAAAATCAAAATTAGGAGAAATCTAAAACATAGGTGCATTTATATACGTCTTGTAAGCTCCAAAATGGAAAGTTTTTGGTCTGTGAAACATTATAGAATAGACATCGAGCAGACCGAGATGATTTATACCATACCAAAGTAAATGGGAAGATCATTGGGATTGAGAGTACTTTCCTTCTCTCCTTATTAATAATTAAGAAACAAAGTTGATCATTTAAAAACAGATGCCATTGTATTAGGCCTTTAAATTGTTCAGATTTTTCGCGACAGAACGGAAGTATTAATTATCTTAAACGCTTCTTTAACTAAACCAAATCTACAAAATATGTGAAAAGACATGGTGGGATGACTTCCTAGCATGATGACGCTTAACCTAATATTTCAAAACTCCCTTAAGAGACGTTAGCAACACTGACTTGGAACAATTGTGTAATAGAGTCTTTTTAGCAAGTGATCAAGTTTTTTATCAAATTATTAGAAACGAATCTGCGAGGCAAGTATTTACTTAATTATGTTGACATAGGAAATATTATAATGATTTCTGTGTTTGTACGTGTTCTTGTTAATTCGCGCAACCACTTTGTGAATTTGAATTAGCAAGTGGCACCCTTTTCTCGAAAAGTTTACAGTTGTAAGAATAGAGGAAGCAAATCCAAAATTTGGCCTTTATACGTGCCTTCCTCTTCATAATCAAAAGCCTATGTCTTGTAAACCTAAAGCATATATATTGATGTATGGTCTAAATACGAAAGACGTCATCAATCCGCGTTTATAATAAATAAAACATTACAATCTATACGGGATATTAATCTGAAACTTACAATAAATTTGTCCCAAGGCTATGTAGAAAATCATTGTAAAAAAACTCATGTTTGGCCAACGGTCTGACTGTTTCCCAAATCACAAAACTATACAAATAATCAATGCAATTGAAATATAATTTTCTAATTCGTTCTTGTTTATATTTTGCAGGAAATCGTTGGTTAGTCTCAATTTGGTCAGCCACACCGCATAAGCAGCCGCCTTTGGATTTTACCGAATTAAAAGAAGCAAAATATTTTGAAAGTTTACAGGTAATTGAATCTGACCAAAAGCTATAATAATAACAAGATGAAAATTTTAAGCGAATTTATCTCGTTAAAGTTTAGCCGAAATAATCTGAATAAATTTTCAAGTGTAATGTAACGTTCGAATAAATGTTCGGCATCTTAAATCCAAAGCAGCTTAGCAAACATGGAAAAAAAAAACTAAGCGCTATCAACAAAAACATTCCCGTTAATCGACGATTAACTTGAAGGCATTTTAGAAAGGTTGATCTAAAAAAGCTTGGCGTCAAGAAATTAAGCAAAATTTTTCCAAAGACAAAATATTTTTCTTCCTTTAAATGTCAATTAGTTTTCCATATCCATGTTTTTTAACAGATTGCAACCGAAAGTTTAATTAATTTTTGTAATTATTTAGTAACTTACTATATAAAATATTAACAGGGAAACTCAAAATCTCTCATTTGAATTTTAGCCTTCTCCGCGTATATTCGGTGAGGATATAGAGGCGCAAGAGGAAGTACCCATACATCATCATCACCATCATCATCATCATCAGCAGAGGCCGCCCCGTCCGGAAGGTCGTGCCTTGCACCATCAGAGGCAACGTGAAGAATACGTTGAGCTACAAAAACGCGAAAGCGATATTTAAAGTCCGCGAATATTCGCTTAGTACATTATGGCTTTTATTATCCTGTATCCAGCAGTGGCCGCTTTGGCTCTATTCATTATTGGCGTGATTATTATTATGTTACGTTTTGGCCCAAAATTATGTGGGTTGCGGCACCATGCGTTGCCGTATAATGAAGAGTGGCGTGAACGGGCTTACGATCATGAAATAAGCTATGCTTGAATATAATTACAAGTTTTATATGAGCACATAAATTAATATTTAACAAGTATTTCATTAACAAAGAATACTTTCCAAGTGCCTTTAAATATGGAAAGATAAGAAGACACACACATATACACATTTACAAAAACAAAACAAAACAAAAAAAAAAAAAAATGTTTAAAAAACTAAGAGTTTTTTTTTTTTTTTTTTTTTTTTTTGTCCTAAAAAAAATCAATTTCCGTCCATTTGAACGTGACACGATGCGTTTTTCACGTGTACTAACTTTTTTGAAAAATTTTACTCTTTTATAGTAGTTTTACATAAATGTAATGTATAATAACATATTTTATATATATTTTACTCAATAAAAAAGAAATTTATATACAATGCGTAAACTTTAATGGAGATTTTTGCAGTTTTCTGGCCTTTCTAAGTGCGAAGGATCAAACTTTTGGCAATATGCGCATGGGATATTCGCTTTCTTTTCTCTCTTCTTACGACAAAAATATACCGTTTGATGTTTTTCCTGGTTGTCTTTACATATAATTTCGATTTTCTAATTAGTGCGGATGAATAATCGGCAATTTAAAATTTAATCGATCGATTTATGTCCAGGGTTTAATTTCTTAATTTCATTAACGAAAATTTGAGAACATCAACAATACATGGATAGATGTAGTTATAAATAGATTGATCATTTTTTACTAATCAGGTACGATATTATTTTATAGATCACATATCATTGGATGTTGCCAATCTATATATAACTACATACATACATATCTATATACATATCTAAACCATAAAATAGAAAGTATAGCCTTAACGATCATATTTTTAATGAAATTTCACAGCGGATGTAATCTGACACAGTGAGCGCACTGCTCTTGGTTGAAACATTGAAATAACTTCCAAAAAAAAAAATGCTGAAAATATTGTCATACTTCTCTTTGAATAAATCCTAACCCATATCCTATATCTTAGTCTAAACTAAAACTTGTTTTTACTCATTTATAAGTCGGGCACTTGATGCTCAAGTACGTGTATCTTTGATAAAATATTTTTAAATATCTGTCGTTTATTCACTTTAGTTGTCTAAATCGAAATTATAAGAAGAGAAATAAAAAAAACGGGAATACATCACCGATCATATTGTTTTTGCAATGTGCCTTTTACGGCAGCCTATGGATAATGTTCTTGGTGAGAATTTTGATTTCCAGAGACGATGTTAATCATTCATCATTTTGAGTTTGAAATTTTATTGAAATAGAATTCCGCGTAATGTAACGTTAGAGGTTTTTGTTTGATTAGAGCGGCCAATAATAGAAAAAGAGGAATGAAAGGGAAAAATTAAAATGGCAAACGAAAACATTTTTATACATTTTATTTATTTATTTTCTTTATTTTTATTTAAAATGTTCTCCCTTTTTTTTTATCATTAATTATAAGTCTTAATTTCAAGTACATAATAGTTACAATTAATAATTTAAAAATTATGAAAGATTCTTAAATTAAAAATTTAAAGAAAAGTAGTAAAAAGAGGAAGAGGTAGACTGGAAGTACAAGTATGATTGGGAAATAAGCAAAAAAAAAAAAAAAATAAATAAATAAAAATAAAAAAAATAAAAAAATTAAATAAAAATATAAATAAAATATTTATTACTTATTGGAGCCTAACTAAACAATACGAAAGTAGGTAGTAAGTAGTGTTAAGAAAAGAAAACATAAATCTTATCTCTAATATATGGAAACAAGTTTTTAACAAAAACTCTCCACGTCTTCGGATTGTTTGCCGTTTAAACGATAATGTTTTTTTCTTTTGTCTTTTTTTTTTTTTTTTTTTTTTTTTTTTTTTTTTTTTTTTGTTAAAGCAACATTTAGATAATAGGTCCGACTTTTCATTTAAAAAGGTTTAATATTGTTATATTTTATCCCAAGAAATAAATAGAAATTTTCTGCTTCTCCTCCTTTTATTGATTTATTATATCATTAAGCTAGAAATTCATTTCCAGATCATGCTTGAAGTTCAAAAATTAATAAGTCGAAAAAGAAAAGCAAGTGAAAATTTCAAAAATTTGACGGCACAGTATAAAAATAATAATCAACCAATCAATTTAATATTAGTTTTACGAATTAAAGGTAAAAGTTTCCTGGATCAACATACTATTACGAAAATATACTCATCATGCGACACACAAACACCCTCATCGATTTATTTATTAATCAATAAAATTTAATTAAAAGGGAACGAAAAATGTATGCCAACTATTGCCGCTTTCTCTTGACTCAATATTCCTTTCTTTTAGGATTTTATATGCAGCTACCGTTCAAATTTATTCTAATAAGTAGTAAAAATCGGCGCGTTTGTTAGAGAAACGATAAATTAATTAAAGGAAACTTTATAATATATTTATAATAATGTTGTACATAAAGGAAAGCGAAGGATTTGCAGCTTTTATTAGCTGCTGAAGTAAAACGCAAAGTGTAAAGTTTCTAAAGGATAAAAAATAAGAGGCAACGCAATGATGACTATCCAAAAATCCTGTCCAAGCAAATTATAGGTTTATTGTTGTTTCGAATTATTACTTTTTCAATTGAACTTAGCGCCATGAGAGTTAAAATTGGCATAGTTAACATGCATGCATGATCGACGATTTCATTTCTCTTTGATTACATTTCGAAAATCCAAATGCTTTCCTGTACGATGGTTAAATTTTTAATTAAAAGTATTAAAGAATTTTCTAAAAAAATTTCAATTTTAATTAAAAACAAGTTCGACTTTATCGTAATTCTTTTTCAAATAACATTTTGGTTAGACACGAGCCTTTTTTCAGTTAAAAAAAGTATTAATTAATTTTACATTCGTTAATAAAAATGAAAAGATAAATAAAATAAATGATATATATATGTATACTTTTCTTTTTGATCTGGAAGTAAATTTCCATCTTTTATTTTCATTTCCTATTTAATTTTTATTTTTTTTTATTTTTTTGTTTTTTTGTTTTTTTTTTTGCAAAAATACATTTTTTTCATTAATATTGTTTAAGGGAAAAATTTGTTTGTCGGTCAGTTTGTGTAAAAATATGTATCGTTTTTTTTTTGTTGACTTTTCAAAAAATAGTGGGCTTTAGTTAACTGCACTGTAAATTTTTTCAATATCCCCTGGTTTATTTTTTTTTTATTTTTTTACTTATTTATTTATTTTTTTTTTAAAGTTTTACTTGGTTTTTCTCCTTTTTTTTTTCTGTTGTTGATCTTTTTATTTCTTTATGTGTTTTACAAAAATGGACTCCAAAAAAATAGCAAAAAAAAAAAAGGTAATGCTAACGATATCTGAAATGTAAGAGTGTTATTGATGAAAGAGTGCCTGCGTTACCTGTTTCCAGGACAAGAGGCTGTTCAGAAGTGTATTTAGTCGCTGATTTACTTTTCGCTTCCACGTACAATGTCTCGTTTTCTTCTTACTGTATGCATTTAATTTTTTTTGTTTTTGTTTTTGTTTTTTGCAAAAATATATTTTTTCGATTTTCATAACAAATTTTTCCAGGTTTTTCTTTTTCTTTTCCATTTTCTTTCTTTTGTTGTTTGGCAGGAAGGGAAACGGGGGTTTGGGGGCGGGAGGGTTGGGGGGTTTTTTGCTTTATTTTATAAGAGATTGCGTTCTTTAACTTTGCTTCTGCTTCATGTTCTTTACCTTGCATTTCTTCCAACTTACTTCCAAATGGATTTATTTGAAGAATGCACATGTTCGCGGACACCTGCCATTTGAGTTCGTTTTTTTTTTTGCTTTCTTTTACTTGATTTCGTTTCTTCCCTTGCTTATGTCTCAACATTTTCAAATATGGAAATTAAGAGATTCCTTTGAGCTTAATAATAATACATTTCAACATTTTCAAACATGGAAATCAAAAGATTCTTTTGAGTTTAATAATAATAATAATAATTAATTGGTTTTTATGTGATAATATTTTAACATTTAAAAGTTAAGAGGATTTTTTTCATTTTTTTTTTTTTTTTTTTTTTCTCACATTTCATATTAATGGCTTTAAGTAAAACAGTAAGAATTGAATGGAGTACAAAATGGAGGAGGATGTTACGTTTATGCTTAAAAAACGAAGCACTTTGTCTTCTGAGTTTTCATCGTCTTCAGTATTTAGTAGCTTGACAGCTCGCAGACCATGCGCGATGTGATGGGACATAGGATGGGAAGTTTTCTGGAGGACGAAGATCAGATTGGCTTGGTTGTCAATACTTATTATTATGTGGCAGCATGAGCCATGAGTTCTGAAAATGCTTTCTCTAAACAATTTTTGAGTTCAGCATAAGTAACAATAAGAACCGACTGTTCATCACGTGACATTAATTGTACCTATAAAGCCGAAGTTAAAATTATAATCATAATTTATTCAAATTTTCAAATATTACTATATCCTACACCATATGTGTTAACACGATATATTAGCTTTCCGCGGCTGTACACTTAACACTTAAAAGGATTTGAGATAGACCCATCTTTTGTTATTATTATGTCGATCAGGAAGTGATTCAATCGAATCGATTTAAGCTTTTTGCGTTCAATCTATAGACCGCAAATTTTTGAGATATTTTGATGAAATTTGGTGCAAAATGACGTGTCTTGGGTAAAGGACAACCGTTCTTGCTCGAATCGGATCACTCTTTCGTCGACTTCTCATACAACGTCTTATTGTGGAAGGTCGTTATATGAATAACTGTAAGCTGGTGTAGGGTATTTAATGATGGGCCGTAACCTACTATAGTGAGGTTACTTGTTTTGTTTGAATAAAAAAAGAAAGTAAGAAAGTTTTAGTTTGTTTACGGGCGATGTTTGCCTACTCATCCAAAACCCAAGTAACACAAGTCTTTTTGATGTTAATTATTAAGCAGTAAACGTGCAATTGCCTTGCTAGGTAATTATGCGAAACTTCAGGAGTCACTTCGAGCTATTGTATGATACGAAACGCAAAAACGATGCAATCGCGTTTTTCGATTAATAGTACTCAATAGCTTAATAGCTTCCGTATCGAGTTAGGCTATATATCTGCAATAACATTGGTGTACATATCGAAAATCGAAAGAAGGGAAACAGAAGTAAGTTAATTAACAAAGGATATATAAAATCTGAGAACAAAAAAAAAAAAAATTGAAGAAAATCATATGAACATCCAAAGCAGAGTGTTGAAGGACAAGAGTAACCCTCTGCATTTGCCACCACATAAGTGGTATAAGTTTTTATAAGATATCCATTTAGCACTAATTGTCGCAGTTTCAGAATATGTGGTAAGCAGTTTTTGACAATCCTATATTTCCATTTTCGATTGTTCACAAAAATATTTTCGTTAATTTAATATTCATAAATCCCGTTTTCAAATCTTATAATACCAAGAAAGAAAAATATCGGAAATAATTATTTGATTTTAATATTTTGGCGAACATTTTGCAAATTTTGGGATTAAGCAATCTGTCTGCGTCCGCTAACCTTGTCAAATACGTCCATCTGTAATGATATTTCATTTTATTCTCTCACTCTCTGCATCAAGCTGAATTAGCTTGCAGCTATTTTGCTTTTGGGGCTAAAATAAGACATTTCGTATTGGATGTCGAGCAAGCAGTCGTACCCTATCGAGTACCATCAGTCCAAAATGGAAATTTGTTGTCGAGTTAGCTCGATAATGGGAATTTTAAGTCAACCCTAGATATGTGCTGCTACCGTTCGTAAAGTATTTTCGATCTTGTCCGAAGTAGTTTCGGGACTTTAGATTGTAATTGAGCAATGAAGGGTGAAAGAGAGAACTGCCTCGGCTGAGTAGAGTGAGCAGGTTCATTTAGTAGGGAACGATTTTGTTGATAAGAAACTTTCTATTGCCAGCCGATATCGATATCGATCGTTTTAATTTATTTGAATAGTCAGTTGCACACTTAATATACAACGTTGTATACGTTTGTTCGTTGAAATTATGAAATTTTCTTTTTCTAAAGTCAAACATTGATGTTGCGTGTACTTACTCTTTCCATGGAGCCGACATCTAATTTATTTAAAGATTGTACAATATGTGCGTGATCTAGCCAAGGTCGACCATCTTCAGTGGTGGAATGAAACAAATAATCGCGGAATAATTTCAACATATATCTATCACCAGTTTCTGACCACGTGCAATCTAAATTGAAGCTTTTAATATATGTACATATGAAAAGGAAAATTAATACAGATGTAGTCCTCGAATTAAAGCGACTAACATTAACATACTTACCCTGGTCTTTCGTTAATGCAGTTTAATTTTACCAATATTCGATATAGTCGCCCATTTTCCATTTCCTTTGACAATTCATCCTCTTGCATGTCACATTGGGATTGTAAAGCATCCAATTGTGTGTAGAAGCGGGCGCCAATCATCGGCATTAAGTCGGTTACGGAACGTCTCTGGGTCGTGGTGAACAGATATCTATGTTTAAGAAAGAGTAATGATGAATATGAGCTTCTTAGGTGATAACCTTAAAAAGTTTACACAATGAAATTTCTCAGATCGGAAGAATAATGACGTGAGATCATTTCAATGCTTGATTGTACACTATCACGTTGAACTGATTGTAAACATCTACAGGCCAATGCTAATACTAAACGACCCAAAGCGGTCAAATCCTCCTAAAGAATGAGGAAGAGAGATCAACGAATACAAAAGATGAACGTTTCGCATTTTGCTTAATAACTCACCTGTTGATGCATGCTTATCACAGCTAAAGGATTTGCCGTATTTGGATCAAACTGTGCGATATCACTTGTGCCACAAAAGCTAAAACGTACACGCTTACCGGTTACAATAATTTTCGTAGGATCCAATACTCTAAATAAAATTGCATATGTGTATATATATTTTACATATATATATATATATATATATATATATATATATAATATAAATGTATATATTTAATGACTTACTTGCAGGCTAAGCCAGCTTGATGTATTGCACGTAAACCGGCTGTTAATTGCATTATAATAGCCCAGATAGTTGCCTCCGGCAAGAGGGGGCCGTTATTGGTGCGTTGCAAATTACTTTTATGACTGCAAAGGAAATTTCAAAAAGTAATTAAAAATGAATTAAAAAATTCTTCACGTTTCACACCTGAAGGGGCGTGCTTCGCCCTGGAATGGATCATTATAGCCATTGGAGTCTGGCGTCGGTGTAAAGTACTTTGCTAACAATGTTTGCGAGCTCGGATGATAATCATAAACTAATACTAACGCTATTTTTATATAACAAAAACGGCAAATATTTAAAATTTATTTTTATGTTTTTCTTTGTCTCAACGGTCAGGAAGAATTTTCTTACAATTATCACCAAATGCTTTTGTTGTGAAGACCTCACGTAATTGTACCACATTTGAATGTTGTAGTTTCTTCCACATTTCAACAATCGCCATACATTTGGTCGATTGTAATCGAAAACCTAAAATCAGCAAAACAGAACAGAAAGTAAAATAATTAGAAAAAAAGGGAAAAGAGAAAGAGACGTTTCGTTGATTAATGTTATTATTGTTTTGCGAAAGAAGGAACAAATGGGTAAATTTTGTTGTATTCTTGCCATGTAATCTTCTCAGGCAATATTTAATGCCGGTAGTGCTGTGGGTGGCTTTGTAGGTGGACGTGGGCAATGTTAGTTTGGCATGTAACGGTTGTACGGGCAACGGCTCAAGTGGATACAGCGAATGATAATTATCCACTTCCATGGGTAAAGCATGCTGAGCAGCTTCATTCGAGTCCAACATCAAATTCGAGATCGCGTTGCGGGCTAATAAATCGGCCCGCATTTCATCTGGCATAAAGAAAGCCGATTCTAATTGGGTTTTCGGTTGCATTGTGATAACATTCGACGCAGGACCCGGATAAACATGGCCTGCATACATTAATTCAGGTTGTACTGGCGTTATTGACGGTACACCGGCTGGAGCTGTATGATGAGAAACTGTTACCGAGTCGACAACGCCGGTTGGCACCACAACAGAACTAGTATTCGGGGCGGTTGTATGATTGGCAGTTGGATAAAAGTAAATTGTGCCACCGACATTTTCCTAATTCAAAAATTACAAAAAAAAAAAAAAAATTCTCACTTGAAGTTTTTCAATTCTAATCTTCTTTACATTTTCTTTCAACCGACCTGATGAACGTTTGCAGGCAAAGTGCTCGGTATTGGGGAGGCATGAGGCGTCATGCGCGGCGGCGATTTTTCACCTATACTTGATGGTGATTCGTTGCGTAGCAAACTATTTCGTACAACACCACCACCTTTTAGTGGAGTTGTGGTCGTAGACGTTGACATTCCCGCATACGATTGCGGACCGGTTGGTGTTGCCAGCGATCCTACTAACTGTTGCTGTGTATGTGTGTTACCGTTAACCAAAGTGTGCTGTTGCTGTTGCTGCTGCTGTTGTTGTTGTTGTTGCTGCTGTTGTTGTTGTTGTTGTTGCTGTTGTTGTATCTGCTTTTGCTGAGCTACGGCTGCTGCAGTCGCTTTTTGCAGTCCCAACATAGACGTTGTGTTGTTAATTGTTTGCTTTGTGCCTGAGTTGGGCGGTGTTAAACCGTTTAGTGCTGCCCCAGCAACACCATTAAGGCCATTGCTTAACATTGATGTATGATATGGTGAATAAAAGCTAGGTGATGAATTGATGCGTGTTGGAATGAATTCGGGTGACTGTGGTGTTACCTATGTCGATAAGAAATATTAGAAGAAAAAGAAGAAAATATGATAAAAATGATCATAAGTGTAAAATATTTTCAATATTAATTATCAATATATGATATCGAATAAACTGGATGTTCGATGGGTTATAAGAAATGAAAAATAATTGAAAGCCAATTTAGATTCGGTTTGAGCCGAAACTTTTGTTACCACCCACTTCCTAAATTGATGCTTTCAACCAACTATTTAAGAAAATATGTGCCACTAGGGTATGCCCAGTTACCGAAATTATTCAGTATAGCGAGTTCATTTGTCCATTATTCGATAAAATTCAAATTACGTTAATTAACTACGAAAGTTTTAATTGTCTTCGGATGAATTTCTGCCACCATTCCCACTAGACCAAATTATTTGTGTGTTTGTGTGTGTGTGTGTGTGTGTGTACGATTTCGGTTCATCTAAAGTGTGGCCATCTTACGTGCGAGTAGCACTTGATGTATTTTTCTTTATTCACCTTCGATATCGTAACTTTGGATAAAATTGCAACAGTGACTGAAAGAGCAGAAAGAATCATTATCATGTTCTTTCGCAACTAAAATCTCGGAACAGCAATATTCTTAGATGTATAAATAAATTATTTATTGTACTAAGGCGATATGCGGGCACGGACAGTTCTAGGGATTAAATAGAGAAGGTAAGGAGGATTTCTTACACCCCTTAATAGGACGAATAGTTTTAGTTTAAGGACAACTCCGAGATTTTGGGCAGTGCGCAGCTAGCAAACAGGGAGAGCGACTTGAAATTTTAAGTCCGTTACGATCAAGATATATATTTGACGGAAAGGATTGGGTAAATTCGATCTATAGCATTTTGGCGGTGGGTGTGAAAATCATAAATAAAAACTTAAATAAAACCACGAAAGAACAAAAGTGATTCCGCAAACAATTTCTACCATTTCTATAATTAAACTTTCGTTTACAACGTATAGGTTACAAGCAGCATGATAACTGACTCTGGTGGTTTACAGTTTCGTTCTGAAAAGGATTAGCAACAATTTTCGAGAAAGTCTTACGACTTACAATAATAAAGATGACATAATAAATGGAATCATGGAATACCCTAATGTCGAATGTCGTATGAATGAAGTTCGAAAGCTATTTTACCAAAAAATAAATCGCATTTTTTTTTTTTTTTTTTTTTTTTTGCTACAACGCACAAATGGCAGAGAGCTTAAGCTATACGTGGGTTGGTTTTCAAGTTTCAAAAAAACTCTTCTGTTTTTCTTCATTTGGCAGCACAATATGTTAAAATTATCTCAAAATTGTCTCAAGTTTCAAGTCAATCGGTGTAAAGCTCAAGGACAAATATAAAATTCTTTGATTAAACACGATCGGCTGGGATCGGCGTAGATATATCGGTTTTCTATCGTAAATCTATTTTTGAATTCGCTATACACGATTGCTCAGAGACGAACTGTACCGATCTTATTGAAATTCTATACATTTTCTCTATATATGGGATTGATTAGTTATTTTTTCTTTTATCACTACTCATTTTATAATGCAGGGCAATAGATGGCGTAAATTTTATCGAAAATTTTATTCACTTGCTCTCTAGAACTCCGGCAAACTCACGAACTGTACTCACCCCTACTCAACTAACAGAAACTGTTTTGTTTCTGTAAGTCCAAGTCGTAATGGTTGAATTTTTAAAATTTTTGTAATGAAAATTTTATAAAATAATACTTTGATCATTAGATGCTTGCAGAAATTTTTGCCTGCAACTTCTACACGTAAATATGATGAGAAAGTAGACGATTAAATTCGCTGATTTTGACCTTTCTCTACATAAAATAACAATTTTTCGTTTCCTATTAGCGATTTACTTAGTGCATGCCGATGCTAATCAGGAAGCGCTCAATATTCCATTTTCGACCTTCATCACTTCTATTGTTTAATTTGAAGAAATCTGCTAGCGAAGCTCATCAAACACCTTGAGAAGCTTATAGTGATGCCGCTCCATCATAGTTTGGATTTCAACGGTTTAAAAGTGGTGGTTTTGGTGTCAATGATAAAGAATCGCCAGGAGGACGAAAAAAGTTCGAAGACAATGAATCGCAAGACTTATTGGTCGAAAGTCCAGCTCAACCTCTCAAAGAACTTTCGAACAACGTAGCAGTTGATGAATCAACTGTTTTTCGACGTTTACATTGGGAAAGATGGAAAAGATCCAAAAGCAGGACAAATGGCGACCATGCAAATTGTCTAAAAATGCCATTTCGAACTGTTCCAACATCGCGGTTTCATTGCTTGCCAGGCAAAGAAGAAGAGTTCTCTGTGACCTAAATGCGACTGGCAATGATAAGTGGATCTACTACGACAAGCTCAAGAGCGAAAAGTCATAGCTTATCCCAGGAGAGTTGCCCACATCGACAACGAAGCGGAATATTTACGGCTGTAAAGTTTTGCTATGCACATGGTGTGTAGTGTATTACGAGGAGCTAAAACCGAATGAAAATGTTTGTGCAAACGTCTACCAACATCAACATTGAGCAAAGTAAACAATGTATTCTTGCAAAAAAGAGACCAGCAATAGCGGCTAAAATGACTACTACACAAATTGATTGAAAATGCCAGGTCGGTCACTTATTGGAAGAGTTGTTCAGAATACACAATTGCAGATGGAATAGGAAGTTTTGCCACACCCAGCGTACTCACCAGGCATGGCGCCTTCTTGTTCAGAGACTTGTTCAGATCGATGCAGCATGGCTTGGCTGGCATGCAGCTCCGCAAAGTTGAAAAAGTGCGAAAATGGGTCGGTGATTGGATCGCTGCCAAATCAATATTAATTCTTTTGGCACGATGTCGGCACGTTGCCAGAAATATGATAAAATGTTGCACAAAATGATGGAAAATATTTTGATTAACATACATCGCACAAATTTTTCTCAAGTGAAAAAATCGCCAACATTTTCGCAAGTACCTACATATATATATATATATATATATATATATATAAAACAAGAGGAAAATATGAGAGAAAATATGCTTTTCCTACTCCTCTTCGGGACCCAAGTAACCTGCCAATGGGTGTATATTAGGAAATTGCTTTTCAAAATTTAGTAAATAAGGTTTTTAATTACATTTAAAAGTACAAAAGAAAAAAAAAAATGGAATTGATTTGTTCAGTCATATACATGTGGAGGCTAGTTTCGTTTTGGTTTGCCTTAGACAATCCTTCCCTGTTAAAGGAAGCCAACACGTTTAATGCGTTATTAATAACAGAGCAGTGTTTGGAAGTATCGTAGTGACGAAAGTCATATCTTTTAAAAAGATCAAATGTTTTTGAAAGGTTTGATTTTTATTAATAAATATAATACTAAAAAAAGAGAAAAAAAAAAAAAATTAAAAAAAGAGAAAAAAAAAACAAAAGAAACAATGAAAAGCAAATGCTATTAGGTGTGCGGATTAAAAATAAAAGACATTAAAAAGAACGTAAAAAAGTTAATATTAATTTACTAAATTGCCTTTGCTTTTTACCTGAGCTTTTTTAATAGATAGTGGCGAGTCCAAGTTAAGCAGAGAAAAGCCCGAATTAAGACCATAAGTTGGTGTTGCAACATTTTGTCGATTCTTTATTACATTTATTAAACGAAAATTTACATTTATATATATATGTATATATATATAAGATATATATTTATTAAATGTAAAATTATAGTCCAAAATTTTGTCCAGGAAATTATCAAATTACAATAACACAAGAAAAAAACGAACTTATTGCAATTACTCCACTCATCATCGGGCTTATAGGATATATATATATATATATATTGATTTGACTGAAGTCAAATACATACAAATAAATCATTCAATATATCGTCCTATATCTATTATTATCGTGGATTATCTATTGTTTGCGGCTCGTGCTATAGACTGTAAATTATCAAGGGAGTGTTATTATATTGAAATATAATTAGCAAAGGCGCGAACCTATTGTTTATGTAAATTCATTAATAAATTTGAAAAAAAGAAATTTTTACATTAAGTCATAAATGAGATTAATAAAGCGAAAATTTTGCTTGGCTACTGGCTGGCTGCTGGCTACTGCAGATTATATTAAGCCTTGCATGGAGATTTTTTTTTTACTTTGACACTTTGAAAATGTTGGCATGATTGGCCCACATTGACCTTTCAAACTTTGCTTACATATTAGCCGACAATTGTCAATTTTTGCAAGCACCTATGTAAATTAAAATAAAAAAATTCTCCAACTAAAATTTCCTTTAACCTGCACATCGTTGGAAGGGCTATTCATAGAGGATTCACGCCGTACCAATTTCATTTTATCACAGGGCATCCTTTCACCACAATAGCTAAGCAAACTCTCGCTTTTTCAAACTCATTTTTGACCTCTCCATACCAAATTTTAACTAAATAACGTAAGGACATCTTTTGTTTATAATATTTTTTTAAAAAAATTCTCGAAAAGTTCTACTTTATATATATTTTTTGATTTAAATAATTCCGAGAATTCTGTTGTTGGCCTGACAGTGCTATGCAGGAAAAAAAAAAAAAATGGTTTGGATCTTTGCTAGTTATATTTAAATATAAATGGTGTGACCCTTTAAAATACCAAACTTTCTTCTAATCTTAGATTGGCGACAAAGTTCCTTCGTATTCTATTAACTTCAGGTGACTATAGTTATCAAGTTAAAGTAAGTAAGGTAGAGCGTGTCATGTTGTATTTTTATTATTTAGAAGACTACTCTTTCATTACCCTCCATTACTTATTTGCGAAGCCAGTGGTTGAAGCGAATTTGAGACTTTTTATTTGGTATGGGTTCAAGAAAGGAAGCAACGCATTCGTATGCCTGTAAAAACTTATGTGACACGTTAGAAAGTGAAGCTGTAAATGTTTCGATCTGCCAAGGATCGTCGATATGGTAGGCCATTCTGCACACTGCTGAGGAATACATCAAACAACCTGGATTTGTCTTGAGGCAGAGCACTCGAGTTCCGCACAATTTGATTGAAAGAAATTTATGGGATCGTGTGAGCGTGCGCCCTTATTAGACACTGACTTATTACGGGGGCTGGAAAGTGGCTCATTTACGAGAACATAAAGAGAAAAACTACTGAACCGCGACAACTATTGTAAGATAAAATTTTCATTAACGGAAGGTAATGTTCTCCCTGTATTGGGACAGAGGAGGAGGGCTAGTGTCTCGGCGACTATTATTGAATATTTTCGGTCGAAAGACGTGAAGTTCTACGCTGCGCTAGAGCGGATGGATAAGCCGCTGGAAAGACGGCAATGAATGCTTGCACACAGATGAAGTTTTATTACTAATTAAAGTGTAAACAAATGTTAATAAAATTTATTCAAATGTTTTATTTAAAATACAACAGAATTTCCCCACCCCCTATAAAAAGTCTTGGGCGATTTCCAACATAATTTCGTTCGCGATTGCTCTAAAGAATTTAAATCGTGTTAGATTCTCTTTTCGAACAATGGCTTGAAAAATCAAAGTATTAGTAACTTCCAGTAGCTCCTTGTAATTAGTGCGCTATGCACTGTCATGATGCAAATTAATAGTAATTACAAAAGTTTTAGGACTAGTTTTAGAAGCCACAGTAACTATTAAGAACATTTTCTAATTAGTTTGGTATACAAGAGAAATAAAATTGACGATTGCGTCTACTTTTTTCTTTTTGTTTTTTTGTGCTATTTTCATGACCAATTCCTGTAGTCAGAGCACATATAAAATCAAGCGACATTTTTCTTAGTGAATCCTTTTGACTATATAGTTAAAAAAATTTTGATTTCAATTTGTGCTATTTGTGTATGCATAACTGTACATAGTTGCCGGTAAATTTTGAATCAATTCATTCATATCCGCGTCCATCTTGCGTTTCGATGGAAGCTCAAAACTTAATAAATCTGCATAGTATTTTAATAACACTCGGTCTCGACCTACATAGAGCAGTAAGAGGGGGCATCACTGTAATAGCTTTAAAGGAGAGTTCTTTTCTTTGGAATGGATGGAAAAAAGATGTAATGTATGAAAGTAACATATCAGAGCCATTCCCGCTAGTTATCTTTAATTTAAACGACTTTGCGGCATACCATGTAACTTGTGCAAGCAAGTTTAAAGTTTGGAAATGTGGTAACGGAAATCTTTCTTTACTATAAAAAATTTTTTATTAATATTTACCGCCAGCCTGCAATCCCAGAATCATGGAGCCGGCTCCTCTTTCTTCAAATATTCTTATCCATTTCCTTTCCTCGAAAATTTTCTATTAAAAATGGACAAGGAATGTCATGGTTCACACTTGGCGTGTTGCGGAATGGTAGAGTAAATGGCAAGAAAATTTCTTCACTGAACTGAACCCTTTTGAATCGCTCTTGACCTCATTTTTTCTCAATGATCACTTTCTGGTGAGTATACATTGACATGCTTTTGATTAGAAATGCTTCCAAATGAACGTTAACGCTCCTCAAAGACATCTGTTTGTGTGCTACAGAAGTTAGCAATCAATAGGTAAGGGGCATTGGTCTGTACTATCTTAGCAGTAATTCATTAGACACGGATAGCTTGCCACAAAAAGCTGTGTGGAAGGGAAGGTTCAAATCAATTTAAGAGAAATCCTTATTTCTGAAAAGTGCACAGTGTCCGCCTCCTCCTGCCCTAGAGCATCACGTGCTATATACGATAAGTGTGAGTGAAAAAAAAAAATCCTCCGACCGTCTTGCTTTGCCAATAGGCCGACTTAGACCTTAAGGGACAATATTCTTCAAGGTTTAAAAAAGCTTTACCGCATTGATTCTTAGGCAACTCGAAATGATTTGTAAATGAAGTTGATCTGATTTGATCTGTGGACATATATGGATTATATGGAATAGATACCTGTCTTGAATAAATTATGATTATTATTATATCGTATCGCTGATACACATACAATATGCGTAGTAAATGGAAAAAACGTCGCAAAACATTTAAAATAAATATAAAATTTCAAAACAAATGCAAATTCGAAGTGACATAGACATGCAGCGGATAGAACTTCTTTGCCCTGTTTGTGTATCGTGTATCGTGTTCCGTTAATTAAATTCGATCTGTTGTTGTGGCGATTAAGTGGAATTTCCAAATTTAATTCGATTTTAGAAACTTTTGAATGCATCAGGAAGGAGACGGAAATATAAATATGTTGCTAGCTAATCATCTAATTTTGCTTAAAAAAAATTCACTTATATAATATATATTACGATTGTTTATCCGGACAAAATAATTAATTGTCAGACGTAGTCGTGATTTCGAATGATTGATAAAGAGACGGAAGGAGGCTCAAATCAGTTCCACTATTCATGTTTACATACGCACTTCTAAGGCGATTTTCTAAATTACAATCCTTTAGCCCCCTGTTGTGTGGGTATGATGAAAAGGGGAATTTTTTGTAACTTTATTAAAAGGTCGTTTTTTTCTTGTCTTGTGTTTCATCAATTATCAATTAATTATCTTGTACTGTTGTTGTTGTTGTTGTTTTTTTTTTTTTTTTTCTTTTTAATTTCTTCTTGCACTTAGTTGCACTTCTCTAAAGTTACGTAAGCAACTTGACCCTTAAATACATTTTCTTAAATGCTTTACTACGCGTACATGAAGCGCGTATCGGTTTTAAGCTTACCATATAGGTTGCTAATTTACTTTCTGAAGGTATGCCATTTGTTGGTGAATAGAAGATAGGATCCATAGCAGCCGTATCTAGAAATAAAGAGAAATTGAAAAGTCATTTGTGGTTGTCAAAAATTGTTGGTCAACCGATCAATTGACAAAAAAAATTGAATGAGAAATTTAAAGCAATTTATAAAAACTTTACGGGCCTCTTCGTTACAAACTCATCGAAACGAAATGAAATGAAAAGAGAGGACTCTCCGACACCTAGCATGCCTGATGGTAGGCGGTGCGAGGTTGCCACCGAGCCAATACTAAATAATGCTTATTTATAGCTTTAATTGCCCACTTAAACCACACTTGAACCTATATGCCAAATTTTCGAAAGTTCAGACAGCAGACAACAACGGGAGGGTCTATCTGACATGCTTAAGCCGATTAAACTGCAAGTTAAGCATGAATATATACACACATATGCATGTGTTTGAGGCTTAAAAACCCCTTAATTGGCCATGGTGGATTCTGTTCTATTTTTACATTGTCCATAACCATCGCCAGTTTCAAACTCGATTTGCGACCATCAATTAACAGTATACAACACTGTGGCCAAAAAGTCAGACCAACATTTAAGTTTAATTGCGCATGTATAGCGGACATCAGAAATTTTTGTTTTCTAATTTGGTAGCACTGCGAGAGGCATATGTTTTGTGCGACACAAAAGCAATTTTTTTTCGATTTTTATTATGTGTGAGTTTGTTGGGTACAGATCTCGCATTCAATTTCGTTTGCGAAATGAAATATGATGAGACTTGGATTTAGGCATACAATGGCCCGGACATAACCGATTAATCGAACGAATTTCATGCAAAAAGTGAATCAAAAACGAAAAACATTCACCAAAGTCGCCCTAAGACGAAGGCGTTAACAGCTCACTTCAATTATCGTTGACTATGAATTCTTTCCGCTCGGCTAAGTTGTTAACAACGAATTCTAATCGCATTTTGTAGGTGACGGAATAGATTTGACATAATAAATAGATATAAAAAAGAAAAAATTAAATTGCCTCAGACCTCACTTGCTGAATCGAACAAGCCCGCAAAACCAAAAGTAAAGAAAAATGAGAAAATTATTTGTTCACACTTTTTAATACAGTGCGTGTAGTGGAACTGAAAAATGATTTTTACATGTATTCAATTTTTAATGGCTTTGCTAAGATCTCTCGTAATTAAATTAGAGTATGAATTAGCTTCTGAAATAAATTGCTTATTATTCTAGCGCTAAAAGTATGTTGTTGTTTATCCTTTTTATTAGTATTTATTTCTATCATTCTTATTATTATTATTATTATTATTGTTATTATAATGTTATAATTTTTTTAGACTAAGGAAATAAATTCTTAGACTAAAGTAAAGAAATGCAAATTGAGCACTAGGCAGTAGCATCGAGAGGCCATCGGCTCTATTTTGGAAAAGAAAATTAGACATTGAGGCTAATGGTTTTTATAAAATGATATATCGACTGGTGTGATATTGCTCTCTGCACCTGATTTAACCATGTGCGTATGCGATTCTCTTAATAAAGTAAAAGCTTAGGCAGTTACAAAGAATGTGCGCTTCCTTGCAATAATTTATCCATTATTGCAGATTGGAGAAGAAGAGGCCTTGGAAGGATCCATCGGTGTGTTACAATTGTCATAATTGATTTCGTCAATATTATGGTGAAACAACGTGCGAGTTAACCGAGGAGCTGTGTTAGATGATAGATACATGATGTAGATGATGATCGATTTGCTTTCATAATTTTTTCTTTAACGTTCGTTATAATGTAGCTTTCAAGTTCCAACCTTTCCATGAGACCGTCCACAATTTTAGTATTTAACTCATAAACTTTATATTCTAAAGCCGGAAGACAAATTTCAGTTAAGATATTGCTGATCGGCGTCGTGCGAAAAGTATTGGCACTTGCTGTATGGATTTCTTGATAGATCAGTTTAAGGATATTGGTATTAGATTTGCAGCCATTGCCATAAATCAACAGACAATAGTTACTCTTGTTTAAAATAAGCATATTGCTAAGGTAAGCAATAGTGTTAATATGTGCATGGCTGTTCCAAGCAGTCTATTGTGTGAAGTTCACCACAGTTGAATTGGAATTTTTCGATTGAAGAAGATAGTATGACTTGTTGGAGAGAGAGGTTGACGTGAGCCCGAGAACACTGAGTGTCTGGAGATTTTGTATTGGTAAATTATTAAAATGCATCAATCGATTTGCTGCCATCGACATATGCGCTTTCTAAAAAGGTGCATTTTTTTTTTTTTTATCTTTGTATTGAATTTATTTTCGCCCGAGGAGTTTGCCCAGGTTAAAAACCTTTATCACGATAGATTCGAGAATGTTGATTGTTTTCGTGTTAAAGCGTGAAAGACGTTCGTTAATGACAAGCATTCGGAGAGATGGCTGTTATCTCTAACTTTAAACAGCCGATGTGGCAAAAATGATTTGCCTTATGGTTTCTAAGACATGTAACAAGTAACATGAAGCCTCAACCTGTCAAATGCTCTTTCGAAATCAATTCATGCAATTGCAGCATAATTAGTGTAAGCCGATAGCCTTAGATGCTAGTGCTTTTAAGAGTTTAGTCTTAGAATTTATTTCTGTGGCGAAATTAATAATAATAATAATAGTAGTGTTTTTAATAGTTGTTCTTATTAAACGAGAAATATGCTTGGAACATCTAATACATACACAGATAGGAGTCAATTGAGTCCTTCGACAATTTAAGTTTTAAAATATTCAAAAATCAGAGAAACTCAGTTTGGCAAATCAGGCATTTGTTTTTGAATGGAGAGATGAAGAACTTAAGCAATAAAGAAATGTTGAATTTTTAATAAAAAATTTTTTCAAATTTTTTTTTTCTTTTTACACTACTTGTAAAATAGTAAGTTTATGTGGATGTATAAGTTACTCAATAGGATTTAAGATAGATTCACTTTCATTCTATCATTTTCTGATTTCATTTAAGCTTGTCTGTCTGTCTGTCGTAGAGAAATTCCTGAGATATTTTGACGAAGTCAGGAATCCTGACATTTTGGCCTAAGGATAAACTGGATAGGAACAAACAGAATTTTTCTTTTTACGACATCTCTCCATACCAATGTCTTGTTTCGAAAATGTACAATATATAATATTTTTCGACAAAATTCACTGATGAGTAATGCTTCAACACACTATATTGATGTGGATCGGATAAGGCGGTTATATAAATCTCCTCCCATATGATCGTTCTCGCAAAAGGCAGCCCTTTTTATGGCAATAGTACTTATGAATAAATTTGTTCAATTTGGACTACCGAGGTTGTAGTTTGAAATTATTTTTTTTAAAAAGTTCAAAATTCTAGTAAGTAAATAATTTTTTCTTTATTTACTCAGTAAATGAAATTCAAAAGAAATTTCAATTTTTTTCGGTTTGTTTGTTTGTTTGTTTGTTTTTTTTTTTTTTTTTTTAAAAAACAATTTAATAATATTTAAAAGAAAAAACAAAATCTTTTTTGTGTTAAGAGAACATTGTTTATTGGTTTATAAAGAATATTTTTGCTTAGATAATGGATTCATTTTAAGAATATTTGTGAAGTAAGTTAAAGTGATATTTTGAGTGCAAAACAACTTACTCATATAAAAGCGGGGGGGGGGG